GCCCTTATAAACAATCCTTTTAAGGAGAGCTTAATATTAATTACCATTTTATTCTTGTTAAACGGGAAAGAAAAAACTATTGTCTAATTTTAACATACTTGGAAAGCATTCAAAGAATAAATCCTGTTAGAATGAATCCAGTTTCACTGCTGTAATGCATGCAAGAAAATTGAAATTACAGTCCTTTATTTAATGTATTAATATTTTTCTTCCTGTGATGGACTGGGCAATAGGTTTCTGTATAATATTTCTTTTAAAAATAGGCATCATACTTATTCTCAGGAGAACAAATTTTGGAGAAGATTAATTTGAACAACATTAAGAGCAATCATGTTTCTCTTTTTTATTATCCCTTTCATATTCATATCTGAAGTTTTTGTTGGTAGCAGAAGATAGGAATTTGCACAATATAAATTAAACCAAAAGGCAAGCCATATTTGAAAAGTTACCAGTGTAATTTTTTAAAACAATGTTTAATACTACACCACATCCAGTGTGGGTTGCTTCCCAAGTAGGGGGCAGCCCCAGCTATATGCTCACACCTTTTATGTTGTGATAGAAGGCCAGCATTGCCTGCTGACGCACTGACCAATTATCTAATAGAAAACTAATACGCTGCTGGGGTGGGCAGGGGGAGGACATTGCCTTCCTGAATAAACACAGAGCAAGAAGAAAAAAATACAAGTCAGCCAGCAATTACACTGGGTGATTTGAGGTGCTTTTCCATGGGGCAGTCTTGTACTATAGAGGGTTGTTGTGAGCCAAGGGCAGGATCCCTGGGCCTTATTGAACCTCATCCAGTTGGTTTCAGCCCATTGATTAAGCCTGTCCAGAACCTTCCGGGTCTCCAGATCAACACTCCCACCAGCTTAGTGTCATCTATGAACTGTCTTAGGGGTATTTAATCCCCTGGCCGAGATCACTGATAATGTTGAATAAGTTTGCACCTAGCTTCATCCTCTTTGTACCCTTCCTTCATATATTTCTATACCTTGATGAGATCTACTTGAACCTTCTCTTCTTGGGGTTGAAAAGTCCCCACTCTCTCAGCCTGTCCTGGTAGGAGAGATAATCCAGTGTCGTCAGCATCTTCATGGTACTTGCTTGGACTCTCTCCAGTATGTCCATGTCTCTCTCACACTAGGGAGCACAGGACAGCACAGGACACAGCACTCCATGTGTGGCTTCACCAGTACTGAGGGGAAGGATCCCCTCTGTGATGTCCCAGCCATGCTTTGTCATGCAGCCAAAGGTATCATTAGTCTTTCTGTGGGTTAGCCTTGGCTAAGCACTGGGTGCTCATCCCAAACCACTCAGTCACTCCGTTGCTGAGCTAGTCAGGGGAGAAGAAATATAGTGAGAGACTCATGGGTCAATATAAAGACATTTCTCCTGCCTGTCAAGATCATTCTGCATAGTAGCACAATGCTCTGATGTATCAGTCACGTGTCCCAATCCAGTGTTATCTCTGTTATACATCTCCTAATACCTAGATATGTTTTGTGAGATTTTTTTTTTGATGGTTAGGTATCAAAAAGTTGTCTGATTTGATGGCTTCTTGTGAAATGCGTTTTCCTATGAATCTGTGTCCTGGGTGGCTGCATTTAGTACATTAGTTAATCCCTAACAAGATCCCACAACATATTGATTATCCTGTGTAATTAGAAGCAAAGTGTTCCAACCTGGAGGCTTAGCTGCAGTTCATTTGTTGAACTGGATATTTTTTCCTTGTTGTCTAAGCTTAAAATTTTGCCCAAGACAAAATGTGAACTTGGCTCTGGCCGAAGACAGAACGTAAGGAATCCTTGCTCATTTCCATGACTTAAGTGCATAAGAAACAAAACCAGAGATTCATGTATGAGCAATTACTATCTGTGATAGACTTGAATATTAATTCCCATGTATTATCATCATCTTCTAATTTCTCTTTTCTTTGAAGGTAGTGGTGGTGGAGGGTGTAGTTTCTGCTTCTGGCTGTTCTCTTGGAGGTGTATATAAAACTTTCCAGTGACTAAGCAGAAAATAAGAAAATACTATAATATGCTTTATAAACTTGTGATTAATACAGAACTATTTTATGTAGCTGAATTTTGGAAATTAATTGCTATTCTTTTAAAAGATGCACTTGTAATTTGTATAATGTCACACTGATATATTGTTACTCTGCTTTGCATTCTATTTTGAATTCCAGCTTCTTGTCTGCCTCTCCTCCTCTGCCTCTCATCCCCCTGCCCCTATTCAACTTTAGGCTGTTTTTTTCTTCTTTACTCACTTGTTTTTTTCTTTGTTTGGGTAGAGCATGTGGGATAAAATTAGAATGTTTACGTTGCCCTATCTAATTTTCATCTCACTTTCTCTGCTTTCACTGTAGTCTTTGTCATTAATTATGCCTTATACTTTATTACTTCGGTTCCCTTGGGATCTCTTACCCTAAATTGAAAGCATAACAGTGGTATCTAGATGTCCACATAATGAACCTTAACTGTTTAATCTTCTTAATCTTCTGAATCACTCATCCTTGTTTTTTTCCCCTCATCTAATATTTTTCTGTATTGCATCATACCTAAAATTACATTGGAATAGCTTCAGGATAGTGCTGCCTCTTTAAATTTTTTCCTCTCCTTCCAAATGTAAAATTTCATTGTGTAGGGATATAATCTGAAGTATTAGTTACATTAAAGCTCATATTTCATAGTCATCCAGCTGATAAACCTTAAAAAGCACTTGGAGATGAAATTGGACTGGTTTTAAGGACAATATACAGATGTCTACTTATCTCAGTACAGCTTTATTTCTTTGGTTTTTTAAGACTATTCCAAATTATTGTTTTACCCCCACCTCCAGTGGTCAGCCACAAATTGTCACATATTCTGTTGACATTAACATGTGTTCTGGTGATTTTTGCTATTACTATGGTTAACTTGTAGTGAGAATTGAAAGCTGCTATAAAGAAGCCCTTGTATTTCAGATGGAGAGGGACTATTGGTCTGGTTTCTTAGTTCCTGTCTTTTTATTTCTTTTATATTAAATAAATCTCCTTAATTAAATTGTATACCATGTTGATGTTTGTAACAGACTTGATCTAATAGATCTCAGAGATCTCAGACTTAGTGAAGCTGCCATAAGCTAAGCATTTGTTCTTATTTCTAGTTATTGGAAATATATTTTTGTATTTAAAAAAATAGAATATTGTAATTCTGTGTATGTCACAACTCCTTGTATTCTTCCTGTGCCTGTTCTTCAGATTTCTTGCTTGTCAGGTGCATTTCCATAATGGTATGGGGAAAAAAAGGACAGAATTTCTTGGGTAATACAACTAAAGAAAGGTAGTGGAATTTCTGGTCAGGTAGTTTACAAAGACACTGAACAGTTACTGCTGTGTAGTTATTCCTTTGAGAGTGAAAGTAGTGAAGCCTTATGTTATTGTGGTTAACTTATGTGAAGCATATCAGCATGTCACACTTGTCTTTTTTGTTTGTTTTTAAATGATTTTTGGTCTTCATCACAGCACAGTCCTTTATATGTGTTGCGGATTTGTATAGTTCACCAATGAAAACAATTTAGATAACTTATTTAAATAAAGAAGCAGGGACATTAAAATTTACATTAAAAAAAGGAAATAAGATTGTATCATTACTTGCATGAATGGTTTTGGACAGTCTTGGCATATTTTCAGCAAGCTGAAAACTAATATGTGTTTATTTTCAGTTGTTTGTGACTAAACCTTTTTTGCCATCCTTCAGGGAATAAAATTTGTAAGTTTAATGTTGATTAATGCAATCAGATTTTTAAATCTTGCTAGTAGTCCAAAGCAAATCTATTGTAGCTGTTTACCAACAGGCAGTGACTGTTTAGCCAGTATGGCTTCTTAATTTATGCTTAAGCACTTTTGATTTATAAGAAGCCTTTTTGGTACATGCATGTGCCCTGAAATGGGAGTGATTTTTTTTTAAATACATGGATTTTCATTGGTTTAATGTCAGAATCCTTATTTTCTGTTTCATCCTTATGAAAGTATTTTGACTATGTGTTTTAGGGTCTGTAAGATATTTTAATTTGGGTGGAGTGTTTTTCTTATTAGTATTTATACTAATCCAGAATACACTATTTAGTATATTCTGTTTATACAAGTTTAGAAGAATTACTACATAGTACAGTTATGTATGATTATGACTGGAAACTTTCCTCTGCCAAAAGTGGAATTCTCAAAAAATAGAAGAATGCTAATATAAATGTCTTCAGTAAGACATGGTGTAATTTTCTAGATAATTATTGAAGAGCACTAAAATTTTGAATTTAAATACCATGTATATTAAAATGGGGAAGTAAGAACAGTTAAAATTAAACAGGGGGGAGACTAATGGTTTATGCTGACATACCCTCAGTGTATGAAAGGATAGAAAACTACTCAACTAATATAAAGCAGTCTGATGTCAACAGTTCTGGTTACTGTATTTCCAAAAATAATTTTTAAAGTATCTTTTTCCTGAAATGGGTGTAAAAGTAGCTAAAGTACATAAAAAACAGATACTTGTTAATGACATAATGGTTTATTACAGGTTGAATTAAAACTAAAATATTCTCCCAGTCTGCAATATGTGCAGAAACATTTGGTGATAGTTAATAAAATTTATGAACCTTGATTCTTGCTATGTCAAGTAGGTGCTTTTTTTCCCTCTACTTGTAGAACACATTTTACTAGTGTTTGCATATGTGAAATACTCCATACTTTGCATTTTATATATTGAGGAGTTTTTTATATTTCTTCCCATCATGTAAAATATGTTTGAGAATACATTTTATGTATCAAAATGAAGTGTGTCTCTTTCTGATCCTGTATACAGGAAAGGGTAGGAAAAGAAGGACTCAACAGAACCAACTGGGTTGGGCTAAAGCTCATGAAAAAAACCTATTAATGTATTAAAATGCCTCAACAGTGATTTGCTGAGAACTAATGCTCTAATATGTTAGTCATCCTTAAGCTCCTTCTATTTTTACAGGTTCTGAAGGATGACTGATGCTGGTTTCTGTGATGCCACTTGAAGTCTTCAGTGCTGTGGATTGATAAGTAACATGCAGATTTAACTGCACAACCTGGGCAGAAAGCAACATGTGTGCTAGTCCTTTTCAGCTCCTTTAGTGGACAGAAGTACAGCGTCATCCCTCAGCAAGGGAAGATTCTTCAACACCGTTTTATAGCTAATAAAACAGACAACATAATAGCATCCACCTTCCTGATTTACAGTGCATCGCCTTCCAAGACAGATGATCTGTCAGAAGCTGGAGGATGCCCGCAGAGCACATAATAATGAAGTAGTGAAATGATACTGCTGCTGCTACCTGATTGTCGAGATCACAGCTGATAGAACTACACTGCCCTTTTTCTGCTCGCTTAATCAGGCCAGAAATAGCAGGGTGAACATGGCTGGCTTTGTTAGCAACCTGCTAATACTGCTTCTTCTGTTTCAAAACATCTGTTTGGGTTTCAGAAGCCCACTGTCAGTCTTCAAGAGGTGGGTTATGCAAGAAAATATTATGTGTTGAATGCATGCAGTCAAAATATTACAAAAATATGAAAAAACATATCTTAGATAAAAATGTGTTACAGTATTTGTTCAGTTTTGATCATTGCACAGAGTTTTCTTTCTGCAATTTGAAATGGCACTGTTGTCATACTGAAAACAGAAATTCATGTTTTATCCATAGGGTTGCTCATTAGATAGAAGGATAAAATGGCAATTAATACAACTTTTTTAGTTAACACTACAGCTGTGTTTGAGGCTACACAGGGAGTAAATGTATTTCAGATGGTGGAGTTAGCTTGCAGGATAAGATCATGTTTTAACAAGAAAACGTCGACTAAGCTCAACAGTCCTGAGAAATTTAGGGGTTGCTTGAATTCAGAATTGCATACGTAAACTTTAATGTAGTGCAGACAACAGAAGTAGCCTCTTAGCTCCTGGAAAAAGGATTTTACTGTTATTGAGGTTGGGTACCATGTCAATTCTGTACACATGTATATACATAGCCAAAACTTGTATCAGTGTTGCATCAATGTTTCTTATGTCTTACCATTCCGGTTTTTATAGTGATCTACATTTTTCTTACAATCCATTTATACATTGCACTCTATACAGAATTTGATATTTGTTTGATGTTGCCAAGTTTATTGTTTTACTTTGCTATTTGTAGTAGCTGTAGTAGCATAGAAATTACTATAAATATAAATACACACTATATAGTGTTTGAATTAAAAGTTGCCCTCTTGCATGTAATTTAAATTTAATCTGTATAGAACTATAAATCATAGTCTCAAAAAAAACCCCCAAAACTGTTGTGAATTATTAATAGTACTCAATATAGTGTAGTGAACTAATTCTCTGTCTGTACATCTGTGTGCCTCTGACAATTTCGGGATGAGATAATAGGTTACATTTTCAGCTAACATTTTCCAAACTAGTTATCTTATTGCTCAGCTCATGAACTACATCAGCAAATACTGCATAACTAAGATGTTTTCCTCAGCTTGTGATGGAGTGAAATTTTCAGATCACTCCTGAAACAACTCAGCATTGTCTAACTTCTTTTAAGAAAGATGTAACAAAAATCAATATTTGAAAAAAAAAAAACTTTCTTCCTTCTTTTTCAGATATAAAGATACTAGCACATCTCTTTCCAGTGAATGCCTTGTAAGTGACCAGCCAGTGATTTCCTTTGGTCTGTCAGATTTTGCACTGGACATTCGCATGCCTGCAGTGACACCTAAGCAGGTGAGAGAATTGCAGTTTTTGCCTCTTTCTCTTCTTTCAATAAGCTAGGAAAACAAAGCCTTTCCTAAAATATCACTCAAATAAAATGAACAAAAAAATCAGGGTGACTTTTATAAATACATATCTATATGCACTTCTCAGAGAAAAGTAGACTACAAAAAGTAGCCTCAAATGATAGAAAAAGCTCTTCATTGAATTAATTATAATTGTAAAATGTTGGTTTCATAAACTGAATTGTTGAAGTTTTATAATGTGAAATATTTCTAGCTGTGCTAGTAAAACATGCAGTTGCAGTTTACACCAAATCTCAGATGATGCATCAGTGAATCTAATTACATTAAACTCTACGTTGCTGTGGCTTCAGCAAGCTGAGAGAAAACAACCAAAAAGCATTTCAAAAGGGCTAGTTCTTGTGACCCAGTATTTTTAACTCTCGAAATACTCCATGAAAGCTATTACAAAAGTCATGATTTTATACTCTTTAAGGTATGAAGTGTATTATATTCTGCTGAACCAAGTGAGTAAAAGTGAAGACGGTTAAGATTTTTAAACTTAACATTAAGATGCACATATTGAGATTACACTGTCATGTGCATATCTAGTTTCATTAAGCAAGGTGAATAATTATTTTTTGTTCTTTTTGCACTGAGGCATTGTAGAGAACTATGTATATATATCATTAAGAGGTCTACATCTCTTTTAAAGGGCTGCACATGCTTGAGAAGAGCAGTATGTTGTGGTGCAGTAGTTGATGACTCATTGTTGCAGATAGTGGTTTCTAAAGGGGTGAAGAGAAAATGAGGTTTTCATGTTTTTGTGGAAATCCCCTCTGGAACATGTAATTTAAGGCAAGAGGTGTTATTTCAGCAAGTGCAAAGCAGAATTATGGTTTCTGCTAGATCTTTTTTACAGCAAGATATTAAACTTCTCCATCAGAAAGAGTGAAAAGTAGTCTCAGTTCATCCAGGTGCACATTTATAATTATGAATTATTGATTTTACCTAAGGAGCCATCAGTTGAACAGCTAGGAAACCCATACAAAGAAACCAGTCAGTTCAAATTCCTATTAAATCTGAACTTCTCTTTGTGTGTTGTAATGTCAAGGCTGGGGGAAAGGTTGCCAAAAACTGCATTTTTTGAATGAGTTACTGGGCATGTTGAAGGGGTGGGAGGGCCAGGATTTGTCTTACAGTTCATAATTGCTGTTGTTCTATGGGTGCATGAATGTCCAAGCCCTTATGAGACTTAGGAGTGTTCTACATATACCTGAGTTATGCATTCTTTTGGCACAGGTACTACACATGAACATTAACTGGGAAACTGCTCAATTTCTACTGCACTATGAAGCATTGCTGACATTGGCTTTCAAAGTTTGAATATAAGGTCCTAAATAGGTTGTGCTTTTTTTAAAAAAAATCTTCTGAACCCAGGTTAAATGAAAAACATAGAATATTTCCTTTTCTATTTCTAGAAGGCTTTAGTATTTTAACTGTGTAAATGTATATAATCACAGTACACAAAGGCATTCACATAAATCATATCAGTTAACCTCCATTCATCCTTCCATTTTTCTAGCAAAAATACCAAAAATAGTTTCTTATAGGTGCATATCACTGCTCTGTGTAATCACATATTGTTATCACCATTGTAACTTCCTTCTCTGTTGCATGTAATTGTTTACACCTATCCACAGAGCCTTCTTTTAAATTAAGCTTGAAGTTATTCATAGCAGGAATTTTATATTTATCTGTTTAGATGTCCTTATGAAAGTGAAGGCCTGTCAGATTTTCATTTCATAGGTGCAGTGAAATTCCAGTAGGTGATGTATTTCCTTTCCTAAACAGCCTTAGAAGTTGGAAAAAAAAAACAATTAAGAAAAAAGAGGTTTAAATAGTTAATAGTGTACCTACCAACCTAATAGCCACTTTGATAACCTTGTAGACTGATCTCTGTTACATGTAAATAAATTGTGGCAATAAATGTGTTTCTTACAATAGTAAATCAGATAACATATGTCGTATTTGCCCAAGTATCTCAATAAAGTACATGATATTTTTTCTAGATGGTCCTATTGTATATATTAATTTGTTCAGTGTTCCCACATTCATTTTCAGAAAGTGTAGGGAATTTTGATGCTTTGTTTCTATTTAAATTCTAAATTTCCCCAATTTAAAGGTAATTTCTGTTCTCTTTTAACAGTCTGATACCTACCTCTGCATGTCAGTACCCCTGCCAGTGGATGATGAAGCCTATGTAGGTGAGTATTGGTTAACTGAAAGAACTTAAGCAAGCCATTTTGAAGAACCTCAACATTTCCTTTTTTTCTTTGACTCATATTAACTTAATCTTTAGATGTCAGCGTTTCCAAAATGCATTTAACATGTCTAATGTGGAAACAAACTAGAGGGACCTACTTAGAGTCAAAATAAAACTGTATCTGAGGAGATTAATGAGTAATAGCAGTTACAGAGCTGCATGCAGATGCCTCTGGCAGTCAGGACCAAACAGTCCATTTACAAAGTATTGGGTTTCTGTATCTGGCCAGATACTTAATTCTGCACTGCTGAGCAGACTGTTTATTTACCTCTTGGTACAGGTTGTAAATCCTATGTACTTACAGTCAGTGTTGGCTGTGGAAAGATTTTACTTGGAGGAGAAACCAAACCCACTCCCTCTTTTTTTTTTTAATGGCATGACATGAATAAGATGGCTGACAAGTAAAAGGAAATCTTCTAATGTGTTACAAATGCTGTCATCATATAAATGAGCAGAAAAACACCATCTGTTCAGAAAGTCTTTGCGGTAGTTTAAGTTTTATTGTGCCTTGCCGTGAACATACAGTTGTTCAGAAGGCTTATTAGTTTGGCTGAAGATGGTTTTGCTTTCAGAAGATGCTATAAACTGTTCAAAAGGAAACAATATTTTTCTTTCTTTACACTTGTGTTGCATTTTGGATACCTGTGCTTAATAAAAGTATGGTGGGAATCCCATGTAGTTTTTGATGTAGAGTGTTATGAGATTGTTGTTCCATGTGGATTTTATTGTGGAAATCCCTCAGAAGATAGAATATTGTGTTTTGATTTTCATGTTGTATTACAGTAACTAAGAAAAATGATTAAATTTTTTTCAGTGCTTTTGCTATATATCTGTTTTCTAAAGAGGTGAGAATCTAACCTCACATTTTGGTTGTGAATATGGCCCAAGAAAGAAAAATGAGCATAGAAGGAAGGGAGTGAGTGTTCACTCTCAAATAAATTATGCTTGCTGTGCTGTGTTGTGCAATAGACTCTTCTGCTTGTGTTGATTCATAGAAAGGCAATACTACTAACTTCCTCCTTAAGCAGCTTTTATTTAGTGTGTCACTGAGTTGAAAAATTCCATAATTTATTGTTAGGTTGCTGTACATCTAGTTCTGTTGCTTGTGTTAAAGGAACGCAAACTTCTTTTGATGGTGTGTATGCTTAAAAGAACCTGCTGAAAGAATTTGCTTAAAAGTTATGCAAAGTCTCAGTGCAAATCATGCAATGCAACCCATTTTAATTTTTTCTGCAGATCTAAAATTTTATATATTCTTCACCTGATTTTTACAGGATTTGGTCATCTTTCCAGTGATCACTGTTCCTGAGTACCCTTTATTACAAAGCAGAATAAGTCTCTGGGTAGAGAAACCATTCTAGTTGTCTTGTAGAGCTTTGAAGAGCAAGAGGAACTTGATGAGCAATCTGTAAAAAAGCCCAGCTTGTTATGTGAAATTAAATATTCTCATGATAGCATTCCTTACAAAGAAATATATATTGGAATATATATATATATATATATATATATATATATATATATGTTTTGAATATATATATATATATGATTTGAGGGTTTTTTTGTATGCTTTAAATTTAAATGAGAAGAAAATTTCTGTGTTTTCCCTCTTTTGTTTCTTCCATATATGGTGGAAATGAATAGACATATGGTCAGTCTGAAGTGTGTGATCATTCTGTTTTGCTTCACTGGAAAGTGTTCCTCATGGAAAAGGCCCAGATTGGAGTGTTCATAATCCACGGAAGTTGCCTGATAATTAGAAAGAGTAAACTCTCAAACTGTAGAATAGAAAGAATGTAGAATGACCTACCTTATAAAATATCTATGTAGAAAACTATTAACTTGCATAAATGTATTTTTTGTTGCTTAAATAAGCACAGAAGATTGGGACACAGAGAATGTTTAATCTTTTTGAAAGGATAGAGTCTATATTTTTATGATTTAAGTTGGATCTGCCTTCATTTCATTACCAAAAAATGGTGTAATTAACTTAACTTAAAACATACTGTTTTGCTTTGTGACAAAAACAACGGAAAACTAGCATATGAACTGTCCATGGGTTGCTGTTTATTGATGTTGAGAAGACTGTGTGTTCTGTAGAGTTTCAACATGAGGATGTGTGAGTACACATAACTGAAACAGTAAACTGGATTCCTGAGATATTTTGATGGCAAACCTGCATGTTCTGCCTTCAGTTCAATTTATTTGCTAAGTAAATACCTTGTGCTTTGTTTCCTTTTATGGTTTAAAGAGACATTTTTATGACCACTTGTCTTTACAGTTTCATCAAGGCTTGTTAATTCATTCTTTTTTTAACTTTGCCTTCCTATTTTTACTCTTGTTTCTTCCTTCATCCAAGACATTTTGGAAGAAAAGGCTCTGGAATGGAACCTGCAGCAAGATATTTTTGTTGCATATTGGTGAAATATAAGAGCCTTGGCAGAGAGAGTTTCTTTTTTAGTGTTGTATGTGGCAGTACTACATTTGTTATTAAGTAGAAAAATTTTTTGTAACTTTTTTCAGAATTTTTATTAAATTTGTGTATAAGGACTTTGAATTCAGACTTCAACTTTGCTGTTTCCCTAAAGGACACCAGTAAACATTCGTGTTTGCGCAGGGACAGTTAGTACTTCAAAAGTGGAGGGATGCTGTATCAGAATTCACAAACTTGTTCAGAGTGAGTTCTCAGACCTTATCAGAGGAAGGAATCAATCACACTTACTTAATGAAATGTTGCCAGCTGGAAGGAGAATTAGAGCAGGTTTTGCCCTATGGATCTTTTCAGGCATGCATCTGTATAATTTTGCTGATGCTGTTTTCTGTATTAGGTTCTTTAGTGGAGCATAAGACTTATCAAGGCAGAGGTATCTGTTTGAACCAATTGTTTCTCTGTCTCAAATGGCTGTAAATACTGACAAATTTGATTAAGAAGAGTATTGTTTTGTGAAGTGGGTTGGTGTACATTTAGGTTTATGTTAGGAACATACCCTTTGCTCCTGGGAAGTGAAATGGCTGTGAGATTAATATGTTATTATTAGTGAGTGACATTAATATGTGATGTTCCAAGAAAGTATTACTCCAGTTTTATTTTTAAAACATATCACTGTGGTTTTCTTCTTCTGCATTCTGTTTGATTAATGTTTATGAATAAATAGCTAAACCAGAAACTCAGGTGAATCTGTAATGGTGCAGGCATTGATAAAAATCAGTTTTTCATAATTAAACTGTAGAAAGAGATAAATGGTGCTCTAAAGAGACTCACAAAAATTTAGTCTGACAGCAGGCCTCTCAGCCAAAAAACTTGACTGTCACCTTAACCTGCTGATATTTATTTACATGGGTGACTAGTAAATAAATGTCTTTTTCTTACTGACTCATGATAGGCCCTTGTCAGATTGTGCTGTAGAAATGAAATTGAGCCTTCTACATTCAGCAATAAACATTGAAGTAATTAAATGGTTTATTACTTTTCATCTGTAATGGACTCTGAGAAGCTCTAGGTTGGTTACTTTGTTATGGGGTGTATAAACTTTTCTATTGCCATGCAAAGATGATGTTGTCACTGTATTGGAGGTCTCTGATGTCTCCCTGTTTTGCCGAACTTCAGACACTGAATTCTTGATAAATTTCTTTAAAGTTAATTCTTTGATAGAGAAGACATTAATATTTTTAAAAAATCTATCAACTTTATTTAATGGAATTACTGTTTGTAAAGATTAACTTTTTAGAAGTTAGTGTTTTCAATACATAGCTTAAGTACACACTAAGATTAAACTGATGTCATGTTCTGTTCATTCCTGTTTCTCTTTGAGTTTGTAGTTCTTGATCAAGAAATTAGGTCAGACTTCAATTTAGTATGTATATGAAAGCTGCTGCTGTTATTTTAGTAATCATTTGTATCACTTCTCCATGCATTAAAAAAATTATTATTGAGTAATATTCTGTTCATTACTGTAAAATGTAGAGGCTGTCAACTAGGAAAATAAGACTGCTGTTTGATATTTCTTAAGCCTTTGGTAGTGACAGTTCCCAGCACGGGGAGTTCTAGAATGTTGCTGCAAGTCCAGAGCAAGGATGCAAGACAAAGATGATCAGAAATATGGAGCACCTCTGCCATGGGGAAAGGCTGAGAGAACTGAGGTTGTTCAGGAGGACAGAAGACTTCTAGGTGACCTAATTGTGGCCTTCAGCCCACAAGAAAGATGGGGAGAGACTTTTTAAAAGAGCATGGAGTGACAAGGCAAGGGGGAAAGAAAAGACAGTAGGATCTGATTAGCTGTTAGGAGAAAATTCTTTACTGTGAGGGTGGTGAGGCCCAGGCCCAGGTTGCCCAGAGAAGCTGTGGTTGCCCTGTTCCTGGAGGTATTCAAGGCCACGATGGATGGAGGTCTTAAGAAGCCTGGCGTAGGGGGAGGTGTGCCTGTCATGGCTGAAACAAGATGATCTTTAAGGTACCTTCAAACACTGGCCACTCTCTCATTCTTTGTCAGGTACTGCATTTGGCTTGAATCCCACATTAATCTGCATGGCTTTTGCAACACAGGATTTTTTAGTTGGATATTTTTGTTTGTTTCTTTTAACCTTCTCTTTGGAAAGTTATATTCCTGGGTGTGCTGCTAAGAAAAAAGCTGTATAGGAACCATACTGTAACTGCCTATACAAAGCTGTCTTAAGCTTATAAAGTGACTGTGAGGTTTTTCAATACTTCCTTGAACAATGATGAGTTATATCAGCTAAAATAGTTTATGCCAGAAATCTGATTTTGCTTTGTTAGCTCTCGTGCATTATTTTCTCTTGGTAAGAATAGCATTTAGTCAGGTATCTGTAATAAGTTTTCTAAAACTGCTTGAAGTGCTGTCTTTGCTCTAGGACATCATTGTAATAGGCATTATGTGGAGCAAATAAAAGACTTCCTGAAACACTCATTAGAATAAATACTTGGGATAGGAGAGTGGTAGAAAAATAAAAAGAAACAGAGACAGTATTAAGCAGCAGGACAGGTGGTAGCTTTAGCAGCTAGCAGGCCTAACCTTCAATTTTGCCCTTATTGAAGGCTGCCTTTATAAGTGGTACTTACAGCACACTTTTTACAGATATTAATTTTGACAATGAAGTTAATGAAATTTCACATGGTGAACTGGTTATAAACCCCTTCAAAAATTTAATCTTTTGATTGATAACAGCAGCTTAAAACACCCCAAATATCTGAAAAGTAAAGTAGGAATTTCACAGAATGACACGTTGCCTCTGCCATGCAAGCATAAACCATAATTTCATTAGTAATCATTACTGATAAAAACACCAAACCAAGAATTGTCTCCATCACACAGATTAGGTTTTTATCTATGAAACAAGTAGAATTTGCTTGTAGAAAAATAAAGATGTTGGGTTGTCTCTAGACTTTCTTCATGCTGTCAACTTTAGTAGTTCTTAATTCATATATGTCACTCAAAGTACCTTCTCAGGGTATATGGGTACACATCTTATTTCCCAAATCAAGCCCTCAGCTGTGGCATGCTCATTTCCTTACAGTCTGACCACCTATCTTCAGGCGAAAACTTGACTTACATGCTTTAACTATTGGCTGGTTTTCCTTACTTTCCAGGACAGAGCTCAGCTCCAGAAATTGGGTTAAAAGCTATTTGATATTTTTTCCCCTGTGAAACTGGGACAACAATCCACATCATCATTTATTTCAGAAACTCTGCTACAGCTCTTTGTTAAAATACTGATTTCTGAGTGCACGTAGTGCCATAAACCTCAGGAGCAGAATATAGTTTCACTGGTTTGCAGCTTCACCCTCTTCCCTGTTAATAGCTAAAAGATACTTACTTGAGGTTTCTCACTGTCTGTGTACATATAGGGGCGGGAGTAACTTGTCTTCAGAATTCCTGCTGTAGTCCAAGGTTAAAAACTATTGCATTCCCTGCAATGGCATATTTTTTCTATAGTAATAAAATAATTAGAATTTAGAATGCTTTTAGAAATGCCATACCATACATTCATGGTCAACATTACTCCCATGATGTTGGTAAAATTTTTACTTTGCTAAACAGGATCACAAGTACTTGAGAAACCAAAGTAGTGTTTTATCTGTGGCATAGTTTAAAGAACAGACATTTGAGAGGTAAACAAGAGGTGAACTTTCACATCTAAGTTTCTAATAGTGAGAAATATTTGGGCAGTGAGATCGTGCTGACTTTAAAAAAATCTTGGTTTTCATTTCAAAGGATTTGACATATGAAACTCAATCCATTCATGGAACTGTTGTCCAAAGAAAGATGCAGGAAAAATGTAATCAAGGTAGAATACTGGAAGAAGATATTACTAATGCATAAGATTTAGTTGCTCTTAACTGTAACTTACTGCTTGTTTGTATTTTTTATGGAGTACAAAAGAATTAGAAGAGTATTATTAAGTCACAAGTGCAGATTGCAAAGGAAGATTTCAATTAGACTGCTGACAGTAAAATTTTGTGGTTTGGGATGCACTGATATATTAACTTACTATCATATTTAACTTCTGTGGGAAATACAGTGGTTTTCATTAGGAACTTAGTTTCTTTTTCTTAATAAATAAATGAGGTACATACAGTGTTTTAGCTTAGAAGGAAGGCTGTTAAATGAAAATTTAAGGAACGTGTGTAAGTAGAATGCAGAAGGCAAATAAATGGGTGGGGATTTATTTTTAGAATTTGCCTTATTTTTAGAATTTATTTTTAGAATTTGCCTTATTTTTAGAATTACAGGAGAAAATGGCACAAGATTATCTTGGTTATGTAACTTATGGTGAGATTAGATAGCTTACTTGTTTTGGCATATTTTTTTCAGTTGACTTTAAGCCTCATGCCAGCATGGACACAGTCCACCACATGTTACTCTTTGGATGTAATGAACCTTCCTCTACTGAAAATTACTGGTAAGAGCTGCATCTTGCTTTTGTTATTAAGCAACTTTTTTTCAGTGTTAATTGCTTACACCTCTTCCACTGTCAGAATATCTTGGAAACAGAATCTCTTGGAACAATTTTAATATAGGTGTTTTATAGAGTTGTGTAACTATAATTTATCTGTTAAGTATTTACCAAAAACGTAACTAGACCTAGAATTTAGAACTAACAGTATACTATAATACAATTTCAGGAAAAATACCCCAAAACATTCTGAATGCCTGTTTTGGGGAGATGATTTTATTAGTATTTTAAGCATACACAACGCATTTTTCTCAAAAGTCTTATCTCCTGTTTACCTAGCAACTAATAGTTCTAATATTGAAAATGTAATCTTGCACAGTGGTGCAAGAAAACCAGATGCTTAAGAAGTTCAGACCAAAGTAAAATTGAAAGCATAGAATTTCTATGAATTTCTTTTCCGTGCAGGCAGCTTTTCTGTGTTTTTTATTGTATCTCAAATAATAGAATATACTTGAATACTTTAATGTGAATAGTATTCCAACATGAAACCTTTCCATTCTGACCTTTTAAAAACAGGTGAGTATCCTATTTAAAACTGTGTAGATTGTACTTGGGGCTTGTGCTGTTTTCATATTTCTGGAATAGTTTTAATAGAACCTTGGAATAATTTGTACATGATAGAATTATGTTGTTACAGATTGATCAGGAGCTTTTGTTAAGATGGAGTTATGAGACAATGCCTAATTCACAACTAACTGATGTTCTGAGGTTGTAGAAGACATGACTGCAAAGCCAAAAACCAAAGTTTTTCAAAACTGAATCAGACTGAAATCCCTGTTTTGAGTCTAGAGTTCAGGTAGTTTGAGCTCCTTGCTTGTACTTTCACTCTCTCAGCAGAAGACTCACCAATGACAGCCTTTGCAGTGTGGCAGCTAATGTTGCTTTTGTTCTTGATTGACCTACCTGTCAAATGACAAGATATTTATTTTGTTATGATGGATTGAGCTTTGCTGGACATCAGATTCCCACCAAGCTGCTCTATCCCTCCACTCCTCAGGATGGAAAAAACCTCATGAGTCAAAGCAAAGGCCGTTTAATAAAGCAAAAGCAGGTGTTGTGCAGAAGTGGAGGAAAAGAAAATATTTTATTCTCTTCTTTTCATCACCAAGCCACTTCCAAGCACAAGTAATGGTTGCTCTGAAAGACAAATGTCATAAATAACCAACGCGCGTGTGTGTGTGTGTGTGTCCCCACCCTCCTTCTCTTCCTTTCTATTACCTTTGATTGTTGAGTGGATATAATATGGTACGGAATATTTCTTTGGTCAATTTGGGTCAGCTGGCCTGGCTGTGACCTCTACTAACAGGTCACAGTCTTTCCCAAACACTGATGTGTTATCAACACCTTTCTGGCTACTCATTCGAATCTCAGCACTGTGAGGGTTGCTGTGGTGAAAATTAACTCCATTTTAGCCAGACCAAATACATTAATGTTGTGTTTAAATCTGCTATTTTCAGTTTTTCATTTGCAGGTTTTGATTAGGTCTTTCTATTTTTTATGTGTATTTTCTGAGGTTTTGTGTTTGCTTTGCATTTTCAAAATGAAAGCTCTGTCATCATTTCACATCCCTGTTTTTGCAGCAGTTTGCAGCTTTTTATCTTGCTCTACCCACAGTTATTTGCAAGGCTAGAAAGGTGATCATGTTTTCTACATAAAATAGACTAAAGAGTGCTAGAAACTTCTGACCTAATTTTATTAAAGTAATTTCGGTGACGGTGTGTTACTGGTCTTCATTGTTGTTTCTTTTGTTTGGTTATGTGCTGTTCCTTTAGTTACCTGAAGGCTAGCAAATGATGACTTCTCTTGCTCTTTCATCTAGTATGGAAGGAACAGTTGTTTGAGCGGACCACTGTAAGACTTGTTTAGCAGGGATCCTCTCCTTACTTTTAACATGCTCAACATTTTTACAGAGCCAGCTTTGATTAAATTAGGCATGCCACATAGATTTTTTTCTTCTAGTTTCTTTTTCAAAGTTCTGGAATATTATTAGTTACATATGGTTTTTCAAGTCAAGTTTTTCTTTACCATAATGCTGTGGATTAGTTTTATTATGAAGAATAGGCTGTTAGGAACATTCAGAATGGAAGGTCAAAATTAGTTTTCCTGAGTTGTGAAGTTTGGTTCAGGCCCGTTTTTAGTGGGGAGAAATGAGAAGCATCCAGATGACTTGGGATTAGCTGCCCTTTGGCCATAGTCTTGCGAAGCCAAAATCTGTGATGCCCATCTGGCCTGCTACCTTTTCTGGTGATTTGACACTATACTTGCAAATGTCACTGGCCTTCCAAAAGGCTTTCAAGTTGTATGGAACCTGCTCTGGTTCCAACATTCACTACAGTGTGGTAGAATCTTTATCTGAACAAATGCTAAAGGTTGTTCTCCCTTCTGAAAATACCCAGGCATTTCCACAGGGAAAAAAAATCATTTCCCAGGGTTCATTGCCTCAGGTGTTGCTCAGTGCATTAAAAAAAATGGCATAGCTACTTCTATTCCTTGATCATAAGTGATCTAAAAACAGTTCAGCCACAATGACAAGTTTTGCCTGAGGTGACAAACTGTGTTGAAATTGAGGTAACATGCCTGAACTGATTGATAAAGTTCAGATTCTCTGTAGATAATCAGGAATGCACTTGAATGCTTTAAAAGGAAATGTTGAACTACTCAGAACTTGTGAGTCTCCTGGAAAGACAAGTGTTGGGCTGCATCAAACCTAACACTGAAATAATCTCTTGTGAATGAGCTGATTCAAAGATAAAGCTATTATTTTGAGATCAGGCAGGGCAACTTTAAATAGTTACCTTATGCAAACAAATGTATAAGTGCAGGTCATAGATGGCCACCTGATGATTCCTCTATCAGATGGTTGTTTCTGTTGGCAGGAAAGAATGGCTTTAGATGCCTTTGACATCAATAGTTCAGTAGAGGTTGCAAAATATGTCATGACTAGTTCAATGAAGGACTTTTATTTCACTGCATGAGGGACAGTGAGGACAGTAGAAAGAATTGTATTTTCAAGTGTAGTTTCTTACTATTGCCACTGCCCCAGAATGTTCTGCAATATTTAAGAGCTAAAAATTATGATTTGTCTTACTTAATCACCTCAATTATGTTTTTTTAAAGTATTGATTAGTATTCAGGAGTGCAGCGTAACAAAGAAAGAAATAAAAGAAGTTATTTGTTACCATAACCAATGCAAATGTGCTAAAGGGATAGCCAAATACTGGTCTTGCTGACATAGTGAAATATTTTACTTTCAGTCTAGGTAATCAGTCAAAACCCCAGTGCCATTAATAAAAGCAGCTGTTGAGCTTACCCAAGACTGGGGAGAATGCCTTTGGGAAGCCCAGGAGAGTTTGCAAAAACCACAAAGATCCATGAAGCAGTCAGTAAGCTCTCTCTTACCCCACTCAACTCCAAATTTTGAGTCAAAATCAGTTTTTAGAACAATAGTGTATAATATGCAGCTATAGTCCATTTTTAAGGTATTCTGTGTCTCATTCGGTTTTGAATCTCATTTTTTGTATGTAAAGTAGCTATGAATTTCAGTGATTTTTTTGCTAGTTAAAGTTATACTTTTTACTAGCTCCCTGCTTTTCAATCTCTTTATCTTATTACCTCTTCTTTGCGATATCCTCTAGGTTTGTTTTTTCTGAAAACTTAATGTTTCAACATTATCATTGATGGCAAATGAGATGGTTGACCATTTTTTAAATTAAATGAAAGACCAGTGTCTGTAATTTACATTTTCCCTTGTAGTTTTCCCCCTCCATTCTCGCAGTCTCTTGGAAGAAAGTTTGAAGCAGCCTGCACAGGGCTTTTTCCTAATTAATGTGTTCTTAAAAATACTGTGGTATAAATTAAAGACAGTTGAGCCCAAAGTGTTGTGGTAAAGCTGGGACTGTGCTTGTAGTTCTTTCTGGCATTCCTCCTAAACAATCTCTTCAACACATTCTCAAGTTGTGCAGCTCAATAGTAGGTAGATCCATTAAGTCTTTTGCTTTTTTTGTATAGTAGCAGTGGAAAGCTACATAATTTTCAGTTGCAGCTGAATCCATCTAAACTAAAATCCATATCACTTATCTTGAAGTAAATTTTGATTGTCTTTTGGGACATGGGCATGTTTGAAGGGGAAGGTGAGCAAACTGTTAGTAATGAAGGTCTAGAAATACATGTTGCAAGTAAAGCTACTAAAAAAGAAGTGGTGTGTTCCCCTTTCTCTTGATACTCTCATGATTATGGCAGAGCTTTCAGTCAGACTTAAATACAGTAGCTAGGCTGCAGTAAAGCTCACTGATGAAAGAAATGCATGATATCCTGCTGATGTGGTTTGATATACATGCCAGAAGAGCTAGTTATCTCTGAGAGATACCTGGAAAGCATCATCATCATTTATTTGCACATATGGCTTAGCCAATCTCAGCAGAAACATGACTGAGGTGCATCTGCTAGATATCCTGGTCTTTTTTGTGTTTATACTCTTTTATACTCTTCCTCACGCTGTGACACTCTTTTTTCCCCACAATTTCAGGTGACTGAAACCATGCCTTACATATACAAATGTTTTCCCAAGTATCATTTTACGGGCAGGGATAAACAGAGCAGAGCCTGTGCCATTTCAGTTTTGAATGAAACACTTGCATAGACACCAACCTTTATCGCATCTGGCTTGAGTCTGTTGATGTAGTCTGAATAGTTTCAGGGTGAAACTTCCTAGAAGTCATACCTGTGTGTGCTGCACACCTTCTACACTCCGTGCTCAGGGCCATGGATGCTTTGCCATTGGAAAAAGGCACAAATACACCCTGTAAATAAACCTTTTCTCTAATTCAGAATAAAGAGGGAGAAGTGTATTCTAGGTGAGCGTTTGGAAAGCTCCTTAGGGTCCCGTGTTTGATTATCTATGAGTATCATCATGCAGCCTACACCCACATATAGCAGTTAATGCCTTCTTGGATGTGGTCCAGGCATATTGTGCTGTCTGTACAACTATGTCTGGCTACTGAGACTTGGTGGTGTCTCTGCCTCAGGTTTACCAGTTCTTGCAGATTTAAGGCATCTAGAATTTACCAGTCTTTGGGAGTCTTTTATTCTTCACCTTCAGTGTCACCTGCAAGGTGCTGGCTGCAGAGGCTAGGGACAACTCAAGGTCTCTGCTACTGTAAATATTTTTGACCTCTTTGTGGCCTATTAACTTGGCAAACCCTTCTTTTTTCTTTTTGTTTTCCCTTGGGTTTTTGTTTTGCATTTTTTTTATGATTTTTTTTTTTTTTGTGTGTATGTATGCGTATGTGTGTGATTTTTCTATTTTGAAAAACAAAAAATTGCGCAGTGGAATAAGAATTAACTTAAAGCAATGAGCTCGCATTAAGTACAGGGCGTGAGTGCCTTCGATCTGTGGGTTCATATACAGCTTTCTGTTACTTTTTTTTGACAATGATTTTTAAATTAATTTTAAATAACCAATTTTATGTTTTGTGGAGTTTTTTTCTGCTTTGTGCATGAGTCCTATTCTTCTGTGTAAATATTGTAATTTTGTATCACTTGAGTTAATAATGCTAGACATTTTTGTACAGTTCATTACCATAAAATATTCCTTCATTACTTCCAACACTGATTAATAGGCTGACAGGGCCCATCAGAACTGTCTAACACTGCCTAAATGCAAAGGGAGGGAAATAAAAAAAGGTGGAACATATACCAATATTTGTGAATGCAATCTACATTAAAATAACTGTGTTTAATCAGCATACATTCAAAACTTCACAGATCATGAAGTTAGTGGTTTTGCATGTAACTCACCTGCTGTTTTCTGATTTCAAAACTTTAAAAATTGTATTCCCTTTTCTTTCCTCATATTTTTAGGGACTGTGATGAAGGAACATGCAAAGATAAATCTAACATTTTGTATGCTTGGGCAAGAAATGCTCCACCCACCAGGCTGCCCAAAGGTATTGGTCCTTTAGTATGGAGTTCTTGTGTGCAGGGGCAGGGGAAGAAGGAGGACATTGAAGTAAGAAGCTGGCGTATCTGAGAACATCCTGTAATATTTTTATTATGTCTAATGGATAGAAAATGTATAAACATCAGCCTAATTAACTATGAAATATATTATGCTAGCTAATATACTTGTGGGTTTTTGTCATTCTGTTTGCTATACCATTATGGGTTTCTATAAAGGTAAAAAAGACAGAGATAAGTATAATAATATACTGTTTATTTTCTATAGCATTAATCTTGCATTTCCTACTGTATGTTACTAGAAGGTTACCATTTATGTATCTTTCAGTAGCACACAAACTATATTAAATATTTTTGTTTGTTTGGAAAAGCACAAAAAAATTCAATTGAAACATTGATATTTTCCTGTTTAAAGTATATGTTGACAATTTAATGTGTTTTCCATTTTTAATGCTTTGATGCAGTTGAGCAGCATGCTTTTATACCCATTTTCTTGTATAATAGACAACCCTACTAAATTAAATCAAAACATTTTAAGCTACTTGGAGTGGTATGTCTGGAAAACAGGGTGAAGTGCTTCTTTTTAATAATCGCTAAGGGTCTTAGAAATATCTACCATCTGTATAGCATTGATCTGAAAATATCTTGAATTCAAAGTTTGGTTCTTTTTCTTTCATCTTTTACTGCCCATTTGCATAGCCAGAGGCAGTTACACACTTGCCAACATGAATATTATTTGATTTGGTTATCAGAATGTCAAGTTTAAAAAAATTGTTAAATGGAGGATTCTATAGATGTTTTGTACTTAGAGGATTATGTACAAGTTTTGCTGTTAAACCTCAGCTATTAATGCTTTTCTTGTTGGTAAGCTGTGCAAAAATAAAAGGTTTTTAGGGAGTATTCCTAAAGATTCCTCATTTGTGTACAGAGAGGCTGAAGTCTCATTTATAAGGTGGCTTTGCCTTTTATGGTGGGATTCTCTGACCAAATACGAAGAAATTGTTTTTTCTGCTTCTTTTGAAAAATGTTCATTGTAGAATTGGTTTAGAGAAATCCCTTTTGGTGATGGTGATAATTTGCAATTTCATTATTTCAAATTATTTCAAGCTTCTCTATTGTGTTTTGTGCCTGTGCTTGCTTGTCTCATCAAGTAACCATAGCTGCATAATTTCCTCGATTTTTTTCTGCATATAATATTAATTTAAATCTAAAAATATTTTACTGCAGACCTTTTTCTCTTCTCATTCTCAATGTCTTCTTAGTAAGTTAGTGTTAATTAGTTTGTATCATGCACAGGTTGTATGAGAAATGAAAGGTCCACCAAATCCTGCGTGGATAGTAAGATTTCATTTTTATTTTGGATTTTTAAAACATCTGTATTAATGTTCTTTGATTTAGAGAGTTCTCTGCATAAAGCAGATACTTATTCATAATGAAGTTATGATCCTAGCTTTTTAGTCTGTTTGGGATCATGTGCTGGTGGTCTTCCTGGGTTTCAGGACAAAGTTCTATTCAGTGGTGTCTGAAATTTTCTACCCTTTCACTCTTAGCCAGTAAAGTGATTTGTATTTTTTTAAATTGTCAGTGATGGTGAATCATCTTACATTTTCTTTTTTCCTGAAAACAATACATTTTCCTTCTCTTAGGTGTTGGATTCAGAGTTGGAGGAGAAACGGGTAGCAGATACTTTGTTCTCCAGGTACACTATGGAGATGTTAGTGCATTTAGAGGTATGCATTTTGGAAATTTGCTCTGTAAGTTGTATCACCTACATCATCAAAAATATTTACCTGTAGAAAATATTTTTTCTGTTAATGCCCTTTGCAAAGATCAGTGGGCATCTTTGGAATACCATTTCTGTATTAATTTGACTTCATAAACTTAATGTATCTCTGTAAATATCTGAAAGGTGGAAACCATTTTTTTCTTCAAAAATTGTGGAGCAAATGAAATAAAGTAATCAAGAAATAGATTAACAATTTCACATTTAGGGAGAAACTTGGGGTTTCCATATATAATTCAGTGGTTTGTTTAATGAAGTTGAAACAAATAGGTGTAAACACACTTAACGTGTCATCTTACTTGAGCAGATTGTGAACTGATAATATTCACTAGCTAATCAGTCACAATTACAAGAAAATTCCCATTAGGTTATTCCTGAAATTTAAAAACACTTGTGAAACTAGTTGAAAATTATGCATTGAATATCTTTGAACACTACTGTGAAGGTTTGGCACATTTCATTATATATTTTTATTATATTTTATTTTCTTTACTTTTTTAAAAGCCAAAATTACTGTGGAGTTCTGCCTGATAGTGGATGCAAGTAAACAAGTAAAAAAGTGTTGGAAATTTGTCTGCCTTTTTATATAGTCATAAGTGTTTCGAGTTCAGATTCAAATTAAAGTATATCTAGCCATCTTTAGGTCTGTAAAGGGACCCAGTCAGCTTTGAACTTGGGCTGTAGGGATATGCAGTGCAGTTGTAATCCTGGTCTTATTTTATTATTCTATGTAAGCACCTTTGAATCTGAATTTTAAAAAATATTGTATTTTTCTAATGCCTAGAATGTTGGGGTTTTTTTCCTTTGTATAACAAAGACTAATGTTGTTTGTAATCTGCCATATTATTACCTTAGTCCTTTCCAGCACATTATAAGAATATAATTGTTATCCCCAAGAATCAAAGTGTTTAGAAGTTGTCAATGATAAGATCTTTTAGCTATTCTGAAATGGAAAGTTTTCACATTCTGTCATTTTGTATGTGTGCATCTGTTGCATTTTTTGAAGCAATTTATAATTTTTTGTCAATATGTTCAGGCCAAATTTCTGAGGAAGTCTTTCATCTTCATTTGATGAAAAAAAAGCTTTGGCTTTTTTTTTTTTTCATTCCCTTTCTTGTTCTCTCTCTTGTTTTTGCACAATGAACAATGCTTTCTTGCATTCTCAGCTTCTTCTTTTAACCCCAGCTTTTCACTGAGAGTAGATTTATTTCTCCCTGCTATCACGCTCTGCAAGCATTGTGTTGCCCACATTGCATATAATGACATATAATTTCTAAGTGGGGTGTAGGGTTCTTAATATTGTCTTAGGGTTTGGTTTTTTTGGCTGGGGAGAGTAATTAGTTATGGCCACCAAGCTAGTAGATGTCTTAAAAAGATGTGTTTCCTCCTAAGAATGTGAGTTGTATTTTGTCATTTGAACATTACTCTTGAATGTTATTCTGAGCATTAGATTTGTGTGCTTCTCTTTGACATTCATGAATATGAATGAATATTCCAGGGTCTTGAATAAAATCAGCCTTTCATATTCACAGAGATGCATGGCTATGATACATTTTTATATCCTTTTAGCAAATCAGTCATCTGTGACCTTTATGAGGTCTTCATCTGTTAAAAAATTTATATTGAACCAGGATCAACAATTGCCTCCTTTCTGTCTGGAAAGTAAGTTGTGAAAATGTCACTGGGGAGTCTATGTTTGCATTTTGTTTTTCACAAACTGAGTAAGTTTCATTCCAGATTTCACACTAGACTTCTAAAAATAAATTTTTATGAATTGATACTGGATGAGTGAACAGATCGGCAAGTACAAGCACCTTAATTTACATGAAAAAAAACAAACTAAGGTAGTTTTATGTATCCAATATTAGATACCAATATTAAATGCAGTATTATTTGTCTCATTCTGTATTAGGATCTCACGTTCATTTTTTTGTGCTGCATGTCTTTGCTCAATAAATATAACTTGTACAGAATTACTTTCCCATGGGCATTAGCTTTGGAATTGACTTGCTCAGGGGTTGTGCTCACCTTTGAGGCTACTTCTTACCTTTAATGAAGCAAAGCCAATTCTGAGACAGTATGTGGAAATTCCGGTGCAAATCAATGGCTGACTTTGAAATAACAAGGGGTTTTCATAAAATGTGCCACTCTGTTGCAGTGGAAATTTGTAAGTATTCTAGTCACCATGAATGAGTGCTATACTGTTCCTATGAAATACTAGAAACAGAGCAGTGAAGAAGTTGAATAAATAGTTTGAGCAGAGTGTTCAGTAATATATAATCTCCATTCTCAGAGTGCAAAGAAATTAGGTTTTGAAGAGTGTTTGTTGTTATGAGTAAAAAACCCATACAATTTTAAGTGTCTAGGAAGTCCTAGAAGTCTCAATGTCTGTGGCAGATTACCATGCATATAATTGATGAGTTAAGGACTGTGGATCTGGATAGACAGATTAGCAGAAAGCCTATCAGGCTTCCTTCAGAAGTCTTAGCAAAATCAGTTTACAGAAGGAGAGTGTTTCTCTTTAGCATAATTTGCCTTCACATCAGGTGTGAGCATTTAATTTGAAAAACTGTTGAGTATTTATAGTATTTGAGATATTTCTCCTAGAAAACATTTAAACATTTATTGGCAGTTAAACTTTGAATGATCATTTTAATATTGTCATACACAATTTTTTGTAAAAATTATGTCCTTAAAATCTGAAGCTAGTGTAACATGCACCATTGGCTGTGTTTGGTATGGGTAAATAAAGACAGGGAATATTTAATATGATTATGTTATACTTGCACAGAACACAAAAGGCAGAGCAGAACTTGTCAGCATTATTCAGTGAAGTGTTCAAAGCTTTGAGTGTTTGAAAGAGGTGAACTGAAGGAAGAAGAAGCAGATCAGTTCCAGCATGACTCTATAGTTGATGGAAAAACATTTAGTTCAGTTATGGCTAAGTATAACTACAAACAGAATTATAAAGCACTGTAGGAATTCCTGAAAGATTTAGACTAATGTATCTATCCATTATGCTTAACGCAGCACTGCAGATCAGATACTTGTGACGGAAGTTCATTTGTGCTTCTCATGATAATGATTTAGATGATTGCTATATATAGTAACAATTGTAAAAATTAGTAGCAACTTTCCAACTATCTTCAGTTCATTTTGAAATTGCTTTCTTTGGATGAAAATGCAATCAGCATTTTTTCCATGTTCTGAAAATTCAAATTGTGTCAAAATACTTTAATATTACCAAACAGAAATAATATTTGAGGGTTTTTTCCCCCTCCTCCTATGGTGCTACTTTTATGGCTGTGACCTAGTAAGGGCTAAATTGTTCAAATATGAAATCAGTTTGATGGCTTGGGGATAATTTTGCAGCTGTTTTCAAAAGATAGAATGGTGATGTTTTCAATTAAAATTCCAAAACTGAGAGACACAAAATAACTGATTGCATTTTAAAATTTTATATTTCATTACTTTAAGTAATAATGTTCTGAGAGGGAGCATGCATTTTCCAATTTCCATTGAAATTCATGTAGTGCAGAGTTCTAACAATATTAAACTTACAAAAACGGAGTTCTGGAGCATCACCTGTTCTACATAAATAAGAAAAAAATCAGTTTAAAATTAGGAGGGTGGGGCAGAAGAGACTTTATAAAGACCTTGGTAGCAAACACTGGGATTGGAAGTGAAGCTGCCTGCAGGGAAGAAGATTAACAGTATATACATATATTGAACTTCTTCTAAAACCATTGAAAAGGAGTGTAATTTCTCTTTCTCTTGAATGTTTTCTTACCATTCCCCTTCTTTTGTCCTAATAACTTAGTCTTTTTGGCATTTTTTGATTCTTGATTTAGTAGTCGTGATTCTTGTAAGTAATCTTGATGAAAGAGCTACTGTTCTTACTTTTCTGTGTACAATGAAGACTTAGATTTTTTGTTGCTATTTGTAAAGGTGCAACTGTGGTATCATGATTCAGACTTTTAAATCCAAAAGTGTTTATTGAGATGCACAGAGCTAAAGTAACTAAGAATTTGTAGAAGCCATGATAATGGCATTATGAGAACGCAGTGCAATTGTATTAGGAGCTATTTCAATTGAATAACACATAATTAATTTATAGATCTACTTTGTGAACATAGTGAAAACAAATTCTTATAAATTTTACTATCGGTGATGGTGAAAAGCAAACTGAGTATTATCCCTTATTAATGACATGTGGGGTGATTGAAATAGCTAATGTGTGAAAAGCTGAACTGACAGTTTTTAATCTGTCAGTTTTCCATGTGTTGTCCCACTTTGGCCATTATCCTTTTTTCTGTTCAAATGCACTACTTTTTCCGTTTGGAATCTGGCTATTGATAGGAGGAAAAATTCTCAGAAATTACCGCTTGTTACTGTAGATACTCTGATATCTTTCTTACCCGAAACATATATGGTTGGGTAATATTTTTTCAGAATGTTCTGTTTACTTGCTTTGGAGACAGATCCATCTTATAACTACAGCTATTATTGTATAAACATTAGAAAAAGAAACTTGCTTAAAAAGGAGCAAAGATTGAACTCCCAGATGGCCAACTATAATTTAGTAACTGTCAAGATGACTGGGTCTTCAAATTAAAATGTTGAACATATCAGCTAATGATGATACAGCACACTAACAAATGAATTAGCTATTTTTACTCACCTTCAAGATATCCAGTTTTAAGTAGAATTGCTGTCTGTATTGGTATATCAAGTTCACCTGCTGACTTTCATTACAAGGATTTCTGGCAGCTGCGTTATTAATGTTTAAAATTATTGCTTCTCACAAGCCTTTAATTTTTCTAACTTCGATCAAAATATAAATTAGTTTGAAACAAAACTACTTTTGCTACTAGTGTAAATATGATGCTGTTTCATTTCCCAAATGCTAGTTCATTAACATCTAAATTTTCTACAGTAGTTTTCATCCACCAAAGTTTTTCTTTCTATTAGGATTTCTACAAATGCAGTACTGAGATGATCAGGTTTGTGCAAATTTCAGTAGTATTTCCACAGTATAACAATTTTACTGCACACAGTAAGATTAAGACTTGTTCTGTTTTCTGTTATTTTTTACACAGCAGAAAAATCTTGTTAATATGTAGTAATTTGCATGGATGCATGGATTCAGTTACTAATGATTAAACTTTTACAATTTGTACAGATAAACACAAGGACTGCTCTGGTGTAACTTTACATCTGACACATCAAAAGTGAGTATTTTTAAAAATGTTTACCTATTTTTTATTGGAATAGAAATTGTGGATTCCATTGAAAACATTTGAAATAAGAATAATACATACTTCACAATATTAAGAATTACAAAGTCATGTCATCTGCTGGCAAAAAATTTCATTTCTGCTAAGAAATTTGAAACAGCTGTGCTAAGAGTACTGGGTTAATACAGTTTAAGAGCTTCATATTTAGTATTCTGGGATGAGAACGGCAATTATGCAGATGATAGCTTTGTCCTATTTCACATACATTGCAGAAAATGCTTTAGAAATGGTAGCAAAAAAGAGAGGGAGAGAGGAACTGCTGTGAAACAGCTTCGTTTTTAGGAGACCTGTTTCAGATGTAATCCAGTGTTTAGAAATTAGTGGTATCAAATGGTATTGGATATGAAGTCACTTGCAGTTATATTTTACAGAGGACTTGTTTACCAGAGCTTGGATTTTCCATTGCAGGCAGCCTTTGATTGCAGGAATGTATCTTATGATGTCTGTGAACACGGTCATACCACCAGGCAAGAAAGGTGAGTTATCATTTTGCAAAGTGATTATATAATTTCAACATCTGATCTATTATTGTTGCTTATTGTGGAAGAAAATTTGACAGAGGTTTGCTGATATGTAAATGGACAAATTATTTATTTGACTGATTGAACAAATGAGGAAAAAAATAGTTATGTTTTAGATTGTATCCTGTTTCCCTATGACTAAATCAGTAAAGGTAATCAATGCTGTATGAACACGTGTAGAAATAATAATGAGTATTTCTTTAATTTATTTTCATCTTATATTTTATTAAACATGCCCTATCTTTTTTCTAATTCCTCCTCTCACCTCTGAAAAGCCATGAACTGCTTTGGACTCTTCTTCATATGTTATTCATGACTTTTGTGATTCTACTAAGAATTCAGTTTTAAGAAATTAATTTCTACCAGTAAGGAGCTGCTATTTAAGAATTGTATTCCCATGTTGGGAGTAAAGGTCCTAGGCAGTTAAAAGGTCAAAATGCTAAAAAAACCAAACAACAAAACAAACAAAAAACCCACCTGTAATAAAAAGTTTCTAAGCTATTTCTGTTCAGAATCCTGAATTTTATCTAATCCTCAGCTTGGAAACTTCCCTATCCTTTCTATGGCTAACATGGGATGTACTGTTTAAAGGAAGTTGGACACTGACTGTACTCTGCTATACCAAATTTTTAAGGAGATAATCAAGAGCACCATAATGAGCTGCCTAAATACGATGAGGTGGTCAAATGCTCAGCTGACTCTAGCTGTTTAGTGAATTGAGCAACTTGAAACATTTTTAAATTTGAACTGAAATTAAAAATATTTTGCTCTCCAGTATGAAAACCCCACCAAATTAATCCTACACTATTCCCAAGAATATTTGATCAGTGTAGGAATTTAATTTTTCACCTGGAAGGGTGAGGGAAAAGGGCAGACAAACAGTTCTGTAGTTGCTAATAACTTCCTTCTCATGTTCAGTTGGATTTACAGCTCTTAAGTGGAGCGTGAAATTTGTTAAAACAGGAAGTGTGGTGATATCTCTCAGAAAGGCATCAGGATTTTTCTGTAGGCTGTTCCTTAGGTACTGTTACTGCACCTAACACAAGTATTACCCTGTAAACATTTTAGAACATTTCTGTGATAAAGTCTCTTGTCTAAATCTAAATTAGGTCTGGGCCTTTATAATCAAGACTTCATTGTAAATTGTATTAGTTTAGAATTACATCAGTTTATGTTAATTTTCCCCCGAGTAGATTATTTACCATAGCTATGTTTATTTTAAGCAATCCTCAACATAGTCTGTAAGTAAATGTATTTCTTTATTTTGCTAAATAGTACTACACTGAAAGAAGTTCTGGCTTTCAGCCAGAGAGATTTTATATATGTGTGAGCAGATTAAGTAATTTTCAAATAACCTGGACTATATTTTATTAGTTTTTCTTTGCAGATGTCTTGAGATGGACACTGCAGAAATATAAAATACTATTTATTATCTTTTGAAATCATCTGTTGTCCATTGTACATATGCTTTTTGTAAACCATGCTGAATGAAGTACAGTAATTCAACTTTTCTCTGTTTGATAAATTATCTGTTTGTCATTGTTTATTGCCATCATATTTTCACAGTGGTTGATGCAGACGTTGCCTGCCATTACAAAAGGTCTCCAATGCACCTTTTTGCCTACAGAGTTCACACACACAGACTAGGTAAGAATAACATAGGAATATCAAATACCTAACAGAAAAACTTCGCAACATATTTTTTAAGTATACCTCACTTCTCATGTATATTGATCTTATAGGTAAAGTAGTGAGTGGATACAGAGTGAGAAATGGTCAATGGACATTGATTGGTAGGCAGAGTCCACAACTACCACAGGTTGGTTGGGTTCTTTTTAGTTCTGAATGTGAATTTTAATTGTCTTTGTTTCAAACTGAGCAACTGAATTGGAAATCACATGTCCACAGATTTGCATCATGGTGTTTCCAGTGGTTATGTGCTGTTGTGTTCCTGGAAGTGAATATTACCAAGTGTTACCACAATTAGATTATGATGCAAAAGTCATTTCGGATATGTAGTACCATCCTTCTCATCAGTGTCTATTAACAGAGAGAATATGAAGCACTTTCACTGATTGTCATGAATCATCCTCTTTTTCAGGCATTCTACCCTGTGAAATATCCAATAGACATTAGCTATGATGATATCCTAGCAGCCAGATGTGTGTTCAGTGGGGAAGGCAGAACTACAGAGACACATATAGGGTAAATTTTATCTATTCACTCCATCTCAGAGCCCGTTTTACCAGGGTGTTGGTTATATGCAGAAATGTTTTTGTTTCATATCTTCTTCCAAAATAATTCTAAGAAACAGTTTCTGCCAGGATGTTTTGTTATGCTGTCTGATCTACTTATGATTTATCTCTGCACAATGTTCATTGACGTTACTTACATGAATATTCGCTTTGCTGAAGTGTTCAGAACACTTCTAAAGCGAAGCTGTACTGCCAGACAACTTAGTCAGATATTGGACTGATATGTTCTTAGAGAAGGATTCAGAATTCAATCCTAGAAAATACATTTCTTAATCAGGTGACAATATTAACTGTTTATAGTGAAATAATAAAGCTTCACAGTTCTCTGCACTGTTTCAAAACTAGAATGTATAGAAGCTTATAAAATTCTAATATTTTGACCTATTGCAAAATCTAGCCTTAAAAAATCTGGACCAATACTGAAATTACCTTTTTTCAGTATAAAAATGTACAGGCTTTTATGAAAAACACTCAAACCAGAAATTACTAATAACAAAAAATAGGAAAATCTGAACTGTATTAGTCACTGATGGTATTCAGCTGCAGGTGACAGACACAGCCCTGTAAGATCAAGTGACAAAACCAGCTGTAAAAATACATATAATATTAATACTCTCTTAGCTGTGGTTCTTTGAACTGTAACTGAATGCATATGTAGAGAAACAAAAATAACATGTGGAAATCTCTCCATTCTGGGAGTGTGCGCTGCAGCATTCCAAGGAAAGAGATTTTTATGCATTGTGCACCCTAAGCTTGCATCTCAGTGGGGGGTTAAAGATTCAACATGGATTTATCACCTTCCAGTGGGCAGTTAAGATAGTGATGTGCAACAGTTGGAAAAAATGAATTGAGAAGAGGTTTTTACAAATAACATGACACAATTAAAACCTTAATTTAGCTGCTGACTTTTTTTCACAAGTTCAAAACATTTCTGTCATGTTTCTGTAACTTTCCCAAGTAGTTCCTATTTGTTGAATAATCCTTACAGTTTAAGAAACAGTCTTAGAAAATTATGGTATTTTCTTTCAATGTACTAGTATGCTTTCAGTGGGGAAGCACTCTCTCTGTCCTTTTCATTACAGTAATTGTTACTATTATAATTATTATTTTGCTATATTTATTATTATGTGTTTGCACTATAATATATGAATGTGTATGGTATGAGTCATGCCCTATTATTAGTATTTTATTTTTAGTATTACTATTATTTATTTATTAATAAGTAATATTTAGTATTATTATATTTTACCAGAAGTTTTGCTTTGTCCCACTCTGAGGAGGGCAGGAGTGGGGGCAGTGAGTGGCAGTACTTAACTGCCACCTGAAATTAAACCACTAAAAATGCTTAGATACAATAGCATGTCAGGTGAACCACAGTTTGTGTAATTTCCACATCCCATTTTCTACTGGAGTTTTAAAGAGGAAGCAATCATAGTGATCGATATTGGAGGTTCAGCTGTGAAGTTTATGCTTTCTAAAAGCTTAAGCAGTGCTTGCTGAGTTTTGTAGTCTCCAAGGGATACCAAAATTCCAATGCACAGAAAAATAACCAATTCCCCTTTTGAAACACTCCCTTCTGTGTTTCTCTTTCTCCCCTCTGGCTTGTGTTATTATTGTTGCTATGGTAAATAAATGAATGCTGCAGAATGGTACTGGAGAAGGCAGCGCTGATGTCTTTTTGCAAACAGCTAATAGAACACCTCTGTATTTTTTTAATGAGTGTAGGCTTACTGTTTAATTGTGAAAACTAATTAAAAATCTTGATGTAAACCCCTATATGAATTTCTGTTAAGAAGTCCTTGCTTATTAACTTTCAGGATTGTGGCTCTAAACAAAAGGTACAAACCTATATTGCAGAGGAAGAATCAGACCACAGTTATAAAGAGGCTACATATGCTCTGCTTCACAAAGTAATATTTTTCAGAAAAGAAATCTTACTTGTGTCAGCTGTTTTTTCTATTGAAGACAGAATTATGTAGAGAAGGGCCACTTCTGTTTCAAGTACATGCACAACATTTATCAAAGAGCTGAATTTTGCTAGTGTTTTATCATTCCCCTTGCACTCATTGTTACAGAAGCTTACAAACAAGTTATTCCCAAGATGACAGTGCTCTACTCTCTTTAAGAGAAACGTATGGTAGCTTAATATGTAATAAAAATAAATTTTGCGGTATTAGAACCAGTGTAATTGGACAGTAAATGAATACACTTGATGAGGAAAGGGGGAAGATCTGTCAAATAGCTGCTGAAATTAAACATGTATATTATTTGCAACAATTTCAAATTACATTCGTCCCAGATTTGTGGAAAAGTGATTTGTAATGTAATGAATGATACAGCTCTGTCATATTTAATCAGAACGTATGCCCAGTTGATAACACAATGGGAACTGTGTGGAGTATGCTGGAGAAATTAGAAGGAAGACCAGTTTAAATAGGCGATGCAATTTTCTGTGAAATCAAAAGCAAATTACTAGGAGGTTCTGAGATATGTGGGGTCTTTTATCTGAAGCAGATGTGGTTGTGCTTATCCTGCTGCGTTTGTCCACACTGCTTTTCTCCACTATAAACCAAAAGAAATTTCTGATATTCACTGCAATGCAGATATTGCATGCTTTGGTTTGGGACATGTAAACATTTGATTGCAGTATTTCAGTGTCCTGTTAAATAAGTTGGATGAATTAAATAATAGCTATTCAGCTCTTTATTTTCTAAGTGCCACATCTTTTCTGTACTGTGTAGGGGTACTGCCAATGATGAAATGTGCAACTTTTACATCATGTACTACATGGAAGCCAAGCATGCTGTCTCATATATGACCTGCACGCAGAACACAAACCCTGAAATGTTCAGAAATATTCCACAGGAGGCAAATATTCCTATTCCAGTCAAGTCTGATGTGAAGAAGATGATGCATGGACATCATGAAGGTAAAAACCACTTGTAATCCATTTTATTTGCGCCATCTTATGCCCCCTGATGTATATCTCTGTGTTATGTTAGTATGCAAAACTTTCATGAAGAGGTAATGCAGTTCTGCATAAAATTCAAATTGCTAATTAAAGCATCATGGGATTCTGCTGTTGGTTTTGGTGGAAATGTCTGCTATAGTCTTTTGTCTGTTTCTTTCTCATGTTGTCTTCCAATTTCTAACATATTTTTACAGTTGTGTGGCCTGTGTGCCCTAAAGACTGGCTTCTTTTTCAATGCCAAACTTTATATTAACAGTAATGTTTGTCTTCTGTCTCTTTCCTACAAAAGTGAATCATAACATTGCCCTAGTTTTCTAGATCCCACTGCTGTGTTTTGAAAGAATTCAAATTTTTACATTGAACAGTTGTAGGCATATAAATTTCAATAACAGTATTATCCAGAGGTAATCTGACTGATGTGTCTGTGTAGCAAGTACAAGTTTTTTGTTTTTATTTATTTAACTTTTTTATTTAACTTTTTTACTGCTGTATTATGTGGTATGACTACTATGATAAAAATACCACATATTTGATTCAGAAGGGCATTTTTTCCTCAGTAGGGTGGTAATTCCCTTCACATGCAGAGGTTAACATCATACTCTAAATCCATTTTTCAGAACCCAAGGATAGTGATACAAGTTCTTTGCTGCAGCAGGACAGAAAAGAAGAGGGAGAGATTTTGGATCAGGGTATGTACTTGCTTATTTCTATGTACATTTTTTATGTCTGTATTTTATTTCTACTTCTATCTTCTAATATAATTCTTATTATTTTTTATTCTGGTTGTTTTAGTGCTGTGTTGTCGATACAACTACTGTTTATATATATAAAAACACCAAATGTTCATTTCCAAAGGGTGTTTTTCCACAAGAGGTGGGTACTCAATTTCATTCACATCCAAAGGCTAACATCATATCCTAAATCCATTTTTTAGAAACCAAGGATAGTGATGCAAGTTATTTGCTGCAGCAGGCCAAAAAAGAAGATGCAGAGATTTTGGATCAGGGTATGTGCTTGTTTATTTCTATGTCAAGTAAAAGACTCATTAATGTAAAATACATAAATCATTTAATGATTTATGAAGCTTTTAATTTGTTTATCTTTAATTGATGCAATTTGCAATGTTCTGTAAAGCTAATAGGGTTGCATGCTATATAAGAGATGATAAAAATAATTAGTTACCACTGATCTCTAGCTTTTTAGGTAAAATTTATTAGTGCATTTTAATCTCATAATGTTTTCCTGTTCTTTGTTTAATTTGCTGACAAAAGTTGTGATTTATTTGTATGTGCATGTATTCTGTATTTAACTGTTTTCTATTAACTCTTCATTGATTTCGCAGTTTGTATTACCATGTGTGTATTAGGGAATAATGTTCTTATGCTTCAGTATTTGCTGTACATGCAAATATGGAGTTGAAGTTGAGTGCAGCTGTTTAATACTCTATTTTTGCTATATTTCCATATATATATGCTTTACAACTCACGTAGAAATGTGTATAGTACTTAGCTGGAGGAAAAAAGTCTATGATTGCTGTAAAGATTTAAAAAATACTCAGATTATTTATGTTTCAGAAGTATGTTAGACTCTACTTCTAAGTTCTTGTGAGTCATATACTGTTAGATTAAAATTGCTTTAGTATCAGGATTTTTCTTTAGACTAAGGGGAAGACCTCATCAGTTACAGATTCATACAGTTTCCATTGAACACTGTTGAGGTTCAAGGACTAAATTAGAGCACACTTACTTTTGCCTTTCAGAAGAGCAAAGATTGGACAGTGTTTAGAATTTTTGATAACAACTCCAAAAGAGCCTAGATTTTTTATGTACTCTGCCATTTCTTAGAGTTAAATAATCAAGCTTTAGTTACATAAAATCAGCTTCTGGAGTGTGAAGCTGTTTTGAATGAAAGAACTTCAAACTATTAGAAACAGTATTCACAGTGGGATATCTGATACTTATCTAAGTCAATTCAAGATGTATTTTTTAAGAAAGAAAAGCAATTCAGTTTTTTTAATCCTGTTTCAGAGCAGAATGAACTATCTGCTTACAAATTTATGTTGAAATTCACGCTGACAATCTGGTTTAGCCTTGCGTTACCATTAAGTGCATTAGCATTTGATCAAGGCTCTTGTTATATATGTGTTATATTGAATTCAGTAGTATTTGAAAAAAAGTGTTGATGAACGTCCTGCTGTTAAAATATTTTTCATTTGTTTTTGAAACATATTTTGAAGACATTTCCACAATGCAGTTTGGTTTGCTGAGAGCACTAGTTAATATACGTCATCATCTAACCTGTTTCTATGGAAACACACAATTTTTTATTCATTTGAAATTACTTGGGTTCATTATGTGAAATACCAAAACACAGTAGTTGCTGTGAATTTGATTTCCTGTTTTTAATGGTTAGATTAAGATAAATTTCCCCATGATTTACAGGAACATGTCTTCAATTTTATATTGATACAGCTCTAACTTCAGTTGAATTATGTCTAAGTAAGCAAAACAACAGGAAAAAACAGTTCGGCTTTGATCTTATTTTTGTCTTCAAAGAGGGAAAGTTGAGTGGCTGGCTTAGAAAGTAGGTTTTGGTTCTGCAAGTGCTCTCCAGATAGGCTGGGGAAACCAGGAGCTGAAAATGGTCTGCAGAATGTGCCTGTAAAAATGACATAGAAATTGGAGTCCAGTTTTGTGGAGCAAATCAGTTTTAAGCAATGGTGTTGCCAATTCATCCATCTCCTCAAGTAACTTCAGTGAGTTAGCCAGTAGGAACCAAATTTGACCTTAATGACAAGAAAATTCTACAGTTTGGAGGGAGGAGGCAGTGGACCCTAAACAGAAGCACATGCATACACCCACTGGGGTTGAGGTCATTATACAAGTACATCCGTTCACAGAGGTAAAAGACGTAAGGCTTTCCCTTTTTGGTCTGGCATGACATTCTGTTTGATAACCTTATCTACAAAGCACAGAGAGACCAGAACTGAGTCTTTGATTAGTTCTGTTGCTGCTGAGCTGTTGCTCAGTAAATTCAGCCTTTGATTTCCTCTGAAGAAAGCACATCAGCCATTTTGCAATAATTCTGTGTTTGATCTTGCATGGGTTTATTCCTCTGTGATTTATTATGTTTTAGCAGCTTATTTTCCCCTTCTTAGTTTCAGGCAACTGAAATAAACACTGTTACTTCACTGTTACTCCAGTAAACTCTGACATAGTTATTAAAATGTTGTGCTCCCATGGAGGTGATCCCAGGATGATTTTTTGCACTTTCTTTTTATATACCTTTTATGTATTCTCAGTATTCTTAGCATACGTACTTGTAATTCTTTAAGCCTGATATCTTGACATAGTCCTGGTATTCTGCTAGGTAATAAAAAACCCAAGCATCATAAAGGCCTCACAGCTGGGGGCTGAAAAGCCTTACACTATCTTGAGAAACCAAAGCCCTCTCTAGAACACACTTTGTAAACTGGATTCAAGCCCCATGTAGGGAAGTATGCTTTAAAATAAAGAAATGTCATGCCATTCATTTAAACTTCTCATTAAGGAACCTTTGTCAAATATACCAATCTACAAAGTCTGTAAAATTATATATATGTGTGTGCAATATATTGTTTGTGTGCATTTCAACATATTCCACCTTAACGAATTATTGCACCTAAGGATCCTTCTTAAATACCAAGATAACTTACTTATCCCTTAACTGTGTTTGGCTCATAATTCTAGAACCAGAGAAAAGGCAGAGGTACTTACTAACCTGGAGGTTAGAGATAGGGCCAAATAGACAATATTTATTTTCAATACTCTTAAATTTAAGAATTTGCCTCAAAAGGGGAAAACAAAAAAGTCTGCTGTATCAAAGTATCTGCCTGCAAATAATGTATATATCATATTTGCCTGGGCATAAAGGTACCTCCTGGTCACACACAGGATGTTTATTATGTTGGTACATCCAGGTGTTATCATTGCTTTTACATTAAATTTTCAATTTCATAATCTTCACTCATTGGAGGCACATTAATAGACAATGCAAATATATAGAAATAAGAAGTAACCATCACAAAGTGAGCCAGCACTCTGCATGAAGTCAAAGCCAAATCCCTGATGTGTTAAAATTTAACTGAACTTGTCTCAATGAAACTGACCCCATTATATAGTTTCTGAAACAGCTGTGAAGATTTACTTTTCATAAGAAGTGAATTGTTGTAGGAAATGCAGTTGATTTAGACATTTGGTGTATTGGAAAGTTTCCTGTTCCTGCTGAAGCATCAAGTCCCTAGTAAAACAAATAATATAAATGTTTATTTTTGTTCAATAGAAGTTTGATTAAATTGTACTCAATAGATACAGAGGAGTAAAAATAATTTATTTGTTAGCTTTCATTATCTCTGTCATATGTCTTTACCTGTTGAAAAAACACTTAAATGTGTTTCATTCTGCTTGTTGATCACTTTCCAGTGGCACAGTACAGTGTAGTGTAGTTCAGGTTTCTTTTGGTATGCAAAGCAGTGAAGCAGCCCTTACTGCTGAGAAAGTTTGCTGATGGTATACCTGAAAACTTTACAAACTTGTGTATATAAACAATAGGAGAGTAGCTTCTTAAAACAATGCAAATATAAGACAGGGGATGGTTAATCGGATTTCCAGTATTTAATATTTTGACTGACCCCTGATTTGATATCTCATTTTTAGTGTGTTAGGTATAACCATAAACTGAAGCAGAGGGGCCAAAATTTTTCTACTAAAATTAATACAATAATTTGATTATATTTATATTATTATAAAATATATTTCATATATTAAACCTAATTAAATATGTTTGGCATAGCACTTTTAAAAGTACATTTTTCCTTCTGTCTGGCTTAGGGAACTTAAGCGTTAGTAGCAAAACAGTAACATATACTTTGCTTCTGATGATGGAATCTGTAGTGATTCAAAGTTGCAGTTGCTCTCAGCACTGGTGTTGGTACTATGAATACAATGGGATTTTTTCCCTTATCCCTCATTATTTTTTTGTTGCCATGAGACTAGGTTATTACAGTTGGAGTAATAACTGACTTAGTAATAATTTACTTTGGGGTTCAAGTGGGAAAGTTCAGTATAAAGGAACATAAGTTCTTTCTTTTGCAGTGTCCCAGATAGATTCATATGAGGTCCCTTTTTCACAGCCAAATGTGTTAACTGAAATCCCATTAAATCTCCTCTGTTCAAGGTAATATTGCAGTTTCAGTCAAGCATTCAGATGTTAGCTTCTATAAAGCTGAGCTTCACATCTGCTGTCCTAGTGGTGAGATAGGTTGCACAGGAAACACCTCATTGCAATTCTACCTTGTTGTTTTGGAGATTAAAATGTGTATAGTGTGAGGAGTAGCACACAACAGAAAGAAAATAATATGGCTCTGTAGTCTAAGGCAATTTGATGCTCTCTTATTACAGTGTGTTTTTCTCTAGACTCTTACAATAGTTGCAGAGTGGTTCTAGGTAGGTGGGTCGTCTGATGAGATCAGTTTTCCCAGTCTTTCAGGATATACAAAGCAAAGAAATTAAGCTAAGCCTGCATATACAGAGCTTCTGCTGAAACTGACTAGAAATATGGCTTGAATGTAAGGTGTGGAATATGATACAAAGTACCCTGTAAATTCACACTCAGATGTTTCTGAGTGGACATGCAACATAAATGACCATTCTGTTTGTCTAGCAAAGTAACAGTAATCATGGACCTTAATTTTGCAGTACAGCCTGAAGTACTTTCATGCATGCATGTGTTTCATAAACAGACATGATGGAATAAAAATATTAGGAGAAATCTTTCTGTTCAGTTAAAATATTTCTTCAGGAGTTTCTGGAAAGGGAATCTTCGAATCAAGTTAAATATACATATATTGTGTAAGCCCATTGACTGTAGGAGGAACTTTCTTTGTAAGGAAGTGTAATATCATAATCTGTACCAAATGGGGTCTGATTAAAGGTTACACATAAACCTCCTATTTATTACCTACCCCATCTTTTAATTATTTTCATTTGTATAGTATACTTGCATATGACTGCACACACATGTACATACACACAGAGAAGTATTTTGCATGAGGTATTTGTTAGGCAGCTGGAAATATTTTGCTAGGTCATAGCTGAATCTGTGAGTTGGGAAACCAAAATGTCTGTTGAGTTGTGTACTTTCTGTAAAGTTCTGCATTTCTTAGAAAAGCTGGTTATAATAAAAATATATTGAATGGGGTATTTTTGCATCTGGGATAGAAATCTCTGATTGGTTTAAGTGAAAGAAGGAGATACAGCTTCTCTGCTCTCTGCCCATCTCTTTTGTTTCCTTAAGGGGAAAAAAAATAAGAGGGGGAAATGTGGAGGGAGGCCTGCAATATCTTGTGGGGCAGGTGTTGAAAGGAAGAGGAAAGGAGAATCAGCATGCAGGCTGGTCTTTAATTATTCAATACTGTGTTTTTGTGGTAATGTTACATGGCAAAGCCGTGGAAACAGCATCAAGCAAGAAGATATTGTATTTTGGGTTATATTTCTTTCTAAAATAAATGTTTTATATAATTTACTCTTGCTGGTTTGTATATGACTGTGAGAAAAGAGAGGAGTTTGATTTGGTAGGTGATTAAAAAGCCTTAGGAGAAGCTTGCAACAAAAGAGAAATTTGTGTTCCCGTATTGATGTGGGATGTATAGAATGAAGTGTTTGAGACATTTTTAGATTAAGGCCAGACATACAAGAAAATCTTCAGATGTTTTCAGGCTTTGACAACACGTTGAGGGCTCAGATTTAATGAGATGTCTTAAAGAGAGTACAAAAGTGAGATAAAAGTGACTGGATTAAACCCTGGAAGAAAATGCTGCTAAAAGATACTAGGAGTGATATATACTGCTAAGAAATTATAATTAGGGAGATTCAGAAGAGCAGAGGATTTGCTTGCTCTCTCAACACTGAATGATCCTGCTCAAAGTTGTAAATAAAAGATGAGCCTTTGATTTGGTTAGGATAAGTTTATTCATAATCCTTATAAAAGCATCTTCAGCACAGTAAAAAAGAACCATCAGATCTAAGCAAAAAAAAAAAAAGGCAATTGGTATAAATTGCATATCTAAGCAGGAAAAGTGTGTAACAAACATGGAAAGAAGCCATTTTAAATTGAATGTTTCGGTCTTCACTGTCTGACTCTTGATTTACATTCTCTGCCAATGTTATGATTTTGTTTGTAAGACTGTAAACCAAAACATTGTTCTGTAAAAGAGTTTTGATAGTGTAGAGCCACCACAGGAAGTTTAAATTTACTGGAATATGCTTGTGGATTGTTTCAGTCTTGAGAGGCTGGTCTTGACAGCTATCACTTCTTCCAGAAAAATAAGCTGCAGGTGTTTGTAGCCAATCATCTTTTCCATAGAGGAAACTGCTGATAGCTTGCACATAAGAAATACAAGTGTCTTCTCTGAAAGTGACCTTATCAGGCAGCTTCCCAGAGACTGCACTGCTAGATTTCAGTTTCTTCAGTGAGATCAAGTTGTTGATTCACCCATGTCTTTGTCTAGTTATACTCAGGAGTTCTAAAGGCCAGGCTGTCTCATCACAAACAAGACCAAGCACTGACCGATGTTCCTTTCCTAGTGAGTATGTTCAGGCAAACAACACCTCCAACTATTCCAGCTGGTACAAGACCACTGCAAAGCAGTAACACAAGATCATGCTTTGATGTTTGCTGTATATTGCTTTACACAGAGCAGCTTTTACTCAAAATCAACACGAGTCTGCTCTTTTCTGGTTATGTTTAGTACATTTGAACTATTTCTTAAAATTACACTGCTTTCAAATTATTGGAATCTGCCTGGACATCACAAGCAAAGCTGAAAAAAAGTTAGATGCACATACAGAGTGTGGAATTTAGGGTAGATTCAGACATTGGGTAATCACAAAATTAAATTCTTTCCTTTAATGTCTTTTGTGCCTTCTAAATACTCTGAGTTCTGTCAAAATGCCAGGACATTGACAGGACACTTCAGCCTAGTGTTTGTGCCAGAAGTTTGGAGATACTGGTCACATATGTGGACTTGCTGGATGTTTTTTGATCTTCGTGTGTGTTGAGATTCCATATTCATTTTCTTAAACACATTCATTTAAGGAAAGGATCACATTTTCAGGGCACCTGCACTTCTGACCACTTCTGTTCTCTGATGCACACCCTTTTCCATACATTCAGACATTTCCTAAATATTTTTAACTGCTGTGGTTACAAAACCTCTGCTTAATGAAAGCTCTAACAGGACAAGCTCAGCTTGGAAAATGCCTCATGTATGCCCATGGATAGTGGCTGTAGTACTCAAACTTCCCTACTCTATACACCAGTGTTTGAAGGTTTGTCATATATCTTATGGTCATAGGCTCAGCTCGAGGAGAAAACCAAAACAGATCACCCTACTGAGACTTGAATTCCCAGTTAATAGCTTCCATAAGGATGACTGACTTTTCATGAAAGCATCCTGTCCTAAAAATTATTCCCTGGGCATTTAATGTTTTTAAGTTGAATTCTACTGCTCTCTTTTCTTCTTGTCCTCTACTGAGCCCTGTCTTTTAACGTTTTCTTTTGAAGCAGCTAATATCAGACACATAAACAAAAGAACTTTTTTGTCTTCTTTTTATTTGTTGATTCAACAAGCAATATCTATTTCAGTGACCGGATTCATTATTCTGTGACAACACTTGCACACCAGAGATAAAAAGCAGCACTTTTGGCTGGAGCATGAAGCTGTCAAACTTCTTCACTCAAGCAGAATAAGCATTTAAGCTGTTAGAGTTCTTTGCAACAACTGTAGTATGTTGTTGTCCTTTTGCAGACTATAATTACAAGGCAGTTGATTGGACAGTTGATACGCAACTAGGAGAGGGTGACCTGTGCAAGGGTCATTAAACTTGCTTTAAAAAGGCCTGCAGTTTAAAAAAGCGTCAGGCTTCTTTGTTTAGGGAGACTTCTCCTTCTAACATTAAGGAGAGCAGTGCTTTTACCACTCAGACCTCTCACTGGAAATGATTGCTTATAGGTCATCTACAGGTCTCCAGCCACAGATGAAACCAAAACATTTGTTTTGTATGACATTAATGTAATTTTTTAAATGTTGGGAAGAAAAAGGCCAGTATACAGTATTTTAATACCAAATGTTTCCTTAGTAAAGGAAATTTCAGCTGCATTTCTGCTTCAGCACCAGTTGATGATTACTTTAGTAATTAAAAATCTTTCTCAATATAGATATGGTTTGTATCCAAAACTCCTGTGATATACTTTTGAAATGCTTGGATTTGTTTTGAATCAGTAGTTGGAGTTGTTAAATAACAGTATTAAGAAAATGGAGTGCTCTAGCTTTAAGGATTGCATTGAAAGCAAATAATTTCTATTTGTTGTATAGCTTAATGATTTTGTCTTTTCTCTAATTTGCTTTGTTAATATCATTGAAATTGACCCTGTTACTTCAGTAATTATTTTCTGACAGACTGTGTCATCTGGGATATTTCATTTCCAAGAGCAAGGAAGGCAATTCTACTCAAAGTCATTGAAGAGGGACTGTTTAATAACATGACAGATCCTCTAGGGATGATTTTCAGAAGACTTAATTTCCTCTATCCCAGGCTGCAAATGATGATTTCTGGTTCTGAATGGTTTTTGTTCGTTTGTTGTTGGTTTTTTTGGTTTTGTTTTTTTTGGGGGGGTTTTTTTAGGGGTGGGGGAGGTGTTTGCTTTTTTATTTATTTCTTTGGTTTGTGTGGAAGCTTCATTATTTATAGTTTCACTTTTCTAAAAGATGTCTTATATAGCACATCATAAAATAATACAGTTTTTAAATTACAAGTGATTTGCATTTGAAATAAAAGGATATCTACTTGCAGTAATCTTAAAGCAAATTGAATGTCTCTTTCCACTCAAATGATATAGTGGTATTTAATAGAACTGATAATAGTTTCAGGCAGCCAAGATACTAGGTTAATAAGTTCTGTTTTCATGATGTTTTTGCTGTGAGCTATTGTTCTGGAATGTACTGAAATGTTTGTTGAATGCCTAAGAAAGTTACAGTCATAACTTTATTGCTAGCAAGCACATTGAGAAGATAGTTTTCCCTCCACTGCCAGATGATGTCATGACTAAAGAGTGTTACTATTTGGAGTAAAAGGAGGAGTAGAACCGAGACTGAATAAATAAAAGCAAATATAATAGATCATGTCTTTTTTTTTTTTTTAAGTGGGTGCTATGGAATCTGCTTGTAAATGGGAAATTTGGTATTCTTACAGCTTAAGCTCCTTATACAATGACAGACTTCAAAAAATATGTTTTAAAAAGTATCATGATTGTCTATTACTAACTTTGTAAGTGAAAAATTCCATAAAACTATAGAATTTTTCCCTCTTTGATTTATAACTCCGTAGTAGCCTGGCAAATCCAGATAATTTCATCACAAATATTCTTTTACTTAGATGTGCACACTTTTTCCTTTCCCTTTTGCTTTCATTTTCCCTTCCTCTTTTTCTCCTGTTCTTGTTCCCAAGAACATCTCCAGAGGTGATGATTTTTTGATGCCAGAATATCAGGTAAAAGTTAGCATCTATATGTAATTTAAAGTCTGTAACAATTTGATTGTTATCTTTTCATACTAGAAACCTGGCTCATTCAGTTCCTGAGGCTGAAACAGTTCCTCTTTGCTACTTTTGTCAATAAGCGTTTGAATAACTTTGGTACATTATACCTTGATGAAGCCTTCTAAAACTACTCCATCTGTTATAATTTGCTTATTTTCTCTCTTACTCTTATGTTTTCTCTTTTCTGTACAGGTGATTTCTATTCACTCCTTTCTAAGCTGCTAGGAGAAAGGGAAGATGGTGTACATGTGCCTAACCCTACAGAAAAAGCAGAATCAGATCTTGTAGCAGAGATTGCTAATGTAGTCCAAAAGAAGGATCTTGCCGGAGAGATCGCAAATCATGATGAAAGGGGCAATACTATTCTTGTGAGAGACAGAACTCAAAAATTTCGCAGACTAGAGTCTACCTTGAGGTCACCTGTGAACAGACATTTCTCTTTACAACAGTCTAAACATGGTGAGGGAGTCTGGGAAAAAGAACATAAAGGAGGTGGGTTGGGGTTAATTTTATACAATGAAATGCAATGCAAGAGCTGTGATCCACATTAGCAAAATCTGAAGGGATTTTCAGTGGAGACTTGGAAGTATTTTATATGATGTTCCTTCTAATTATTGCAATGTTCTCCCTCTGATGTAGTGGTATTTCACTGGGGTTCTTTCCCCTTCCACGTGTGAATAAAAAATGTGTGCTGATGGCACAACACCAGTACTGCAGTACAGTATTATTTTCTACTCTTACAACTTTTACTTAATGATTTTATTTTGGTTATACTAAAACAAGGTACACATAGGATATAGTAGTCACAGGAAGTGAAGAATACAAGTAATTACCGTAAAATGGTCACTGGAATAATCAATAAAATTTATGAGTTTGCTTACTACCGTAATCTATCACAATTTTATAAAATTTATTGCTGTAATTCTATCAGATATTTTTCTCTAATTCAGAAAGAGTGCTAGGTAATACTGAAAAATTCTTCAGAAGTAACATTTTCTGCATATTGATTTCAAATTGGGCTTGACTCTCCAAATATTCTTGTACAGGTGATTTTATTGTGCTAGAAATATAATCTATTCCCTTCAGGTTTCTATGACAGCAGAAACCATGGAATTACTGTGTTTGTTTTACTTGCATTTTGGTCTCTGTGATATCGACTGTCCTTACCTTACTTGCTAGTGTGGAAAGCCAGATAAAGCAGCATATGAAAAGTATCTCATAAAATAAGCTGATATGTGTGCATGAAAGCCATCTGTATCCATAAGCTGTATGCACACATGCCAGCTTTTATGTTGTAACCACCCAGATTGATATTTCCAAATACTTTTGTACACATATATGTATCATCCATCAACCATTTGATTTTTATTTCTGTTCATAATGTTAGCATGTATTATCTCTGCTTATAAGTCCTGGGTTTGTTTTTAAAAGAAAACCAAAAGTGAGGACTTGCCAATGTTACATTGTCTGATCTAGTTTAATAAGAGCCTGTCACATTATTGTCATAGGGACAAAAAACAGGCGGAATGATACTATGTGCCTGATATATGTGTAAATCATAAATAATTCCATAAACCTGACTGGAATTAAATGTTCAAGAAAGTAATGTGGATAGCATTTCTTTCGTGTGGATAGTTTGTTCAGTTTAGACTAATAACATGTGATGCACACAAAGAAAGAAGAAAATTCCTTTCTATTTTCACTGATGCAGAACAGGGAATGTCAGTGAGCTGAATAAATGTCAGTTTGACATACCTTACAGCATGACTTCTAACTATGGAAAGTATTTTCTTGGATATGTCAGTAGCCGTATATTCATTTGGGGGTAACTTGTTGGTAGGGGACTAATTAATAAATGAACTTTCAATTATGCAATTTTGAGGTATAGAAAAAAAGGAAACTGACATTTTCTTAATTAGCATTTTTGGGGGTGTTTTTTTATGTTTGTAATACCTTTAATCACAGAATTCCTGACCTGCAGAAGCTGTCACTACCATCTTTTAGTAAAAGAACTTTTGTAGCAATAAAATATTTAAGCATATATTTAGTTTCTTTTTAGGGAAGTATTTACATATTTAAAACAAAATCTTCCATAAGAGAATTTTCCTCCTCAGGGGAAGAAGTAAAGTTGTCTTGATTTAATGAAAAATGTATCCCCTTTGCTAGACCTTTACTGTATTGAATTGAAAAAAATCTCAATTTCCTTAGGGAAAGACTCTGCTATTAAATTAATTTCCTTTAACTGTTTAAAAATCACCAGTATTAAAATAGTTTAATATTTTTAATCTTGCGAATATTCTAATTTTTAACATGTAATTGGCCTGAAGTACCAAATACCTGAAATACCCAGTGGCTAGTAAAGTTGTTATAAATGTTCAAACTTTAATACTACTGCTCTTGCTGCACTGTGGTTAGCTTGTTAACCTAGACTGGTCAATAATCTGTCAGGTTGTTTAATATCACTGCAACTGGTACAATTATAACCTCTAAATATGTCGAAGAGTGTAATTCTCCAATTTTCAAAACTCCTTTGTGTATTGCTTAATTAAATTTGTCAAGACTTAAATGAGTGCTGTGATGGCACAGAGTGCAACATGACTTAAAGTTCATAAAGTTAAAAGCTAGAATGATCTTCCAGGAAATTCTGGATATTAAATTACAATTGTGTCAGTAAATAAGGCTGTCATCTTTCACTTCTTTAGAGACTTAGTTGCATGTTCTAAATTTAGGTAATTTCTTCCTTTTTTTTCTTTTTTAATGAAAGGAACTACTCCAAGTTGAAAACTAGAAGATCTAGTACCTAGTTTAGAGATCTCATTCACAAGAAAACCTGGTGATCTTGTTTTTTCTAAATAATTATAAATTACTTCAATGGGGAAAGTAATTTTCATTAGTCTTATACGAAACTGTTCCGTGGACCACTTATTCTTGTAGGGAAATAAGTAATAAGTCTTAGATAAAGGAATTCTAAACCTAGTGAGTTTTTGTAAAAAGCTAGTTGCCATGAGATAAACCTGTATAAAGGACTTTCAGAATGGATTGCAAAGGAAAAAGACAATACTCATTAACAAATTTTGGAAAAATGTGATAAAATCTAAAGATTGTATTGCATCTAGAACTCTTGTGATTAGATTGTATTTCACTGTACATTCATTTTATTGCTTTGATCTATCAGAAATCTTTTATTTCTTGAAGTATAAACATTTTCTATTTTACAGAGTGTGTTTTCTGAGAGACTAAATAGAGACCAAAATAGAGGTCCTATGTTTAGCCTTTTATTCTTGCTAGCTTTTTAAAAAAAGGTCTCTGTAACATGAAACATAGACAAGCTTACTGGAGTTTAACATCAAGTGATATTGGATGAGCAAGTGAGGAAGCAGACGAGAATTTCCATTCTCGTATTCCTTCCAAATCAAAACTTTTGTGAATATGCTTGGCACTGCACCTGCTGTGATCAACTCAACTGTACAGAAGTATAAATATGTATAATTGTTTTTAACAGCGTTTCCTGTAGCTTGCAACTTTTGTTCAATTAAAATTCCCATGGGGCAGGATTTCTTGTTTTAGAAGTTTCTGATTACTGTCCTGGATACACTGCAGCTGCTGATAGCTTTTAAGTTTCTTTTAGGTCACCTACTCTAGCTTATGATATCGCAGTCCAAACAGGTAAAACATCTCCTAGTCTGCAGTAGGTGTTCAGCACCTACTGATGAAACACTGATTTCATATTTCTCTTGGATAGGTTGTAAAGAATGATTTCCCCTCCACTTCATTCCTGTTGTTCCTTCTCAGACTACATCTCTTTCAAGTGAAATGTAAGGGGAGGGTATTATCAGGACAGATGGGTTGCACCACTGGCTTAAATATTTATACATGGTTTCCCATTAATTTTGATTTTAATTGGAAAATCACTTCCAGGTGAAGGTGAACCCTCTCAGACTCTTTGGGTGCTGTGTTCTAAGGACTGTGATCTGCCTTCCTTCAAAGCAGGATGCCCTGGCACTTTGTGAATTTGGAAATCTTTTTCACCTGCCTAGATGATACCCCAGTGATTGGTGTTTAGGATCAGAGCAGAAATCACAAACTTTGGGTGAACTGAAAATTGCAAAGTAAAGCATGGTTGCTTTCAAACACACTGACTGTTAGTGAAGTGGCTCCAGTTTCACATAACTTCAAAGAAATTGGTTCTTATTTGCCATCAGTTTGGCTGTATGTACCTACATGCTGATTATGCATTGTAGAAATACCTGAATTACGCTCAACAAATCAATTTCTGAAAGGAAGCAGTCGTGGATTTCCTAACATGTAGAACAAATTTTAGAATTCTTCTTTTTCATTTCTTTCTATTTTATCAGAATTAGTGAGATGTCTTTTGCCATTTCTTATTTTTGATAATCTAGTTCAATTTGTCTCAATACGCTGCCAGAGCCACACAAGAGCAGTCTCTTCCAAAGAGTATTTAAGTAGGTCATCTGTGAGAAATTAATCCTTACAGTCAACTCTCGGCCACTTTTCAAATACTGAACAGTTTTTGCCTTTCATCCTTGTCAGTCTGCTTTTACATAAGAGAGATTGAAGAGACCATACTTTTATCTTTTTAATGCTAAAACTAAATTTCTCTCCCTTAGCTGAGTTTTACAGTTTTACAATTTAGGACAAGTACAAGAAGTCTTCTGTTCTTAGTGTTAAAAGCTTTAATAGAAAAAGAAACCAAATATGATTCACCTTCCACATGTTTGATTTAGTGATTCGTGGTATTTACTATGCATTTTTTAATCAAACACTGATAGTTAATATTAAAATTTTCTTGCTGATTTCAATTGTGTATTTTTGTAATTCTTCAGTGTAGTAAGTATTTACAGAGCTTCTAAAACTTCTAGAGTATTTACACACATCCTTATAAGTTGGAGAAAATAATGGAATCAAAAACAGTTTTTACATTTCTGTCATCTACCATAGCAGGATGCCAGTGCTTGTGCATGCTTTACTATGTTAAAACTATGTTTGGAATTGAATTGCAATGCATTTAATGGAAATACTGCATGTAAGAAAATGTCCACCTAATTCCCAATAGTTTGTACTAAATGCCAGTTAACCATAATTTGATTTATTTAGAAATATGCTACATGATTATCTTTTTGGTTTTTCTTTTTTTTTTTCTTCTTTTTTTATTTATTTGGTCAGATTTTCACATAGAAGAGGCCGTGGAGTGGCCTGGACTAGACCTCAAACTAGGCCAAGTTTCTGGGTTGGCTCTGGACCCTGAAAATAACCTAGTTGTCTTCCACAGAGGTGATCATGTTTGGGATGAAAAGTAAGTAGAGACCCTTGCCGAATGGTGAATTAGAAGGTTGTGTGCTCTTTATATACCTTCTCAAGAAAAGACAGATTGAAGTTCTTTTTCCATTTAAAAATTCAGTTCTTTGGCTGAAAGTGCCTTTCAGAGACTCAGAATAGAAATGGTGACTGACAATTCAAGATGATGAGTTATTAGATCTTTAGACAGTAAGAATGTGTCTCCAGAGGAAAAGAACATAGCACATTAGGTCCTTAAACTGTATGACCACGTTAGTATGATATTCACTGAGATTAATTATCCCTACCTCTCCATGTCTCTTAGCAGGCATAATTAGCCTGGGTGAATAATGTTTTAGTATGGTATACTACAGTTAGTACTTGGGTTTAAGACATGCAAAGCTATGTCCATTCTTCTTTCTGTTTATGTACACTGAAAAAAAAAAGGGATTATTTAAAGGTACTCTCTCAAAACAAACTTTGTTCTATTCATTTGATAAAATTTGCTACATTTAGCATCACTCAAAAAATGTCCGAACTCTGGAATGGTGATCTAGTGTTTGTAAAATTATATAGTCAGAGGTATATTATTTTAAGAACAGAACATTCTAATAAAGAGTACAATCTTTATTTTTGCAGTGTTCTTATGTCTTTGATTTTTTAATTTGTGTATGTATTTATATGGATACTTCTGAAATTGAAAGAGAATACTGGGGGAAAGCAGTACAAGCCTGTAACGTGTTATGCCGTACCCTTTTTAAATACACCCTTTTAAAAACATTTCCTCTTTTTATTTTGTCCTCTTTTTCAGTATCTGTTCTCTCTCTCTATATATATATATAGCCATAAGGCTAAAGGGTAGGGCTGTTTTCAAATCCTGATGAATTCATTTAAAGATAACATCATGTCGGAAAAATAGGACACTATTCTGAACATTATGATAACAAATTATACTTAGAATAGTGTTTAATGAAAGAAAATAAGTTATTTAGGTTTTAAGGTAAATAACATAATGCAGATGAGGCAATCATTTGTTTCTCATATAGTATTCTCATGCATCAGTGATATCTCCAGCTCAAGTGTATATAAATACAGACTAAATGATGCATTATACAATTTATACAACTTGTATTACTCAGACTTCAAGTATTGTGTAAGAGCTGGTTTTTCATCCTCCTACTCAGGAGCATAAGCGCTATTCTTTATGTTGTTGAATAACAAATTGTAAAAATATTTGAAAATAGGCTGGTCCTTATAAAATACCGATTTTTGAGTGTCTGGCTATTGTAGTATACCAACAATCCAGAGCACAAACTTGAGTTTTGAGATCCAGCAGTATTGGGAAAGCCTACAGGTTTTAAACAAAACAAAACAAATTCCCTAAAACAGCAGTTGTGCATGATGAATCAGCCATGTTGAGAGACAGAACTTCAGCTTCATTATGCTGTAGCTGCAGAAGAAGATTGGAGTTGTGATATATAGCCTGGAAATCCATGTATGTACCACTAGTACTCAGTAACACTACACATGGGCTTCCATAAAGATAGCTAATCATTAAATCCTAGTACTTGAGGGGTTTTGTTCCTAAGTCTTACATTTTTTCTTCTTCTTTTTGTGGAGCATAGTTAATCAATGTATAGAAAATCTAGTGTTGATAGGGACCCTTAAGTCACCTGAACTAGAACTCTGAAGGCCTTTTATATAGAGGATGATTATTTTAAAATGTGATTTTGAAAACATGGCTGTTGTTAAGCTCTTGATCCACATCTTGTGGCATGGAGGAGAAGCACACAGAAATGTGCTCACCCAACAAGCCTTCCCTTTTAACCTTTGGGTACATACATGGGCATTAAGTTTGAGGTCCCTTTCATGTGTTGTGATGAAAAGGGAGGGAGTAATGGGTGTTCTCATTTTCAGGAAAAAAGAAAGTTATTTGGAAGGGGTTTATCATGACAGTTGTATGAGGGAGGCATAAGAAGTTTTCAGACTTTTAAATTAACTTTTATCATTAGCTGCAAATACACAGTTAATCAAATATTCCTTACCAAATTGTAAACATGATAAATCAATAGCCTGAAAGCCCAGAATATATTTTCTGTTTCAATGATTCACCAGCTTAGTATAGAAGCAAATAAAACAAAAACAATCTATGTTGTTAGGCTATGCACAAATATTTCCAATTAATTTCTAACAAATGCCACAAAAGCTGAATCTTCATTCAGCTTAATATAGCTGGTTGAATGATCTATGCTGTTGCAAAAGTAACTTCAATGTACTTTAGAGCACAAAGTTTATGCAGTGACAAGCAATGTAATACAGTAGCAGCTTTGCAGTGGCTGCAGCATTCCTTCAGCATATGATTTTTAAAAAAGAATCCTCTTAAATAATTAAGGTTCTTCTACAGCATCGTCTCTTCAGTTTCCGAACAGTCTTTGCTATATGCAGCATGTATTGTGTAGAATGAAAAAAAATTAAAACTATTCAGCTGGCTAAGCAGTGAATCAGCTGGAAGTTATTTTGCATTTTGTGATGAAAAATGTATGCTATTTATCCAATTTATAAAGAACTTAATAGGGAATATCAGTTGCATTCTTGTTGGTGCATTCTTATCAAGGTAGGTAGGCTGAGCACAGTACCACAATCGTGGTGGATATTGATCAAGAATAGACCTCAGGATTGTGCTTTCAGAGGTTATGAGATCAGGTGGTCTGTCTAAATTTACTATGTAGCCCACAAGAAGGATACTAGATTTAGCAAGAAATTATTTGCATTAGTGTGAAGTGGCCAGATGAGAAGAAGAAACATAACTGTAGAATTACATTGGAGTTTGAAATTAGAAATAGTAGATATGCAGTGGATTTTGTTTATCCTTCAGTATCAAGATGCAGGACCTATCAGGAAACCATGTTTTAGAGCAATATGACTACTGTCTTTAGTTGTTCTCTTTGTGTGGTTTTAGTCTTGCTGCTTTTAAGATGGAAGTAGTCAGCATTGTTTGTGTTCTTATTTATCAGTTAAAACAAAGGAACATTGCCTGGAAATTAATCTCAAGCAATGGGAAGAATAAAGTGACTGTGATTTTGTAGCATTCTAGTCATTCTTCTTGAAAATAAGTTTGACAGGAAGAAGATGAATGGAAGATCACTCCCATAAACTCAGGTTCACTAGAATTTCTCTGCATACCATACAGTCTCTTTTACACTGAAATCACTTAGTTCCCAGAAGAGCTGGGAATAGCAGGAAATACTTAGGCATCTAGACAGCACCATTACTAGGACCAAAATCATAACAAGGAAAGCCGATAATTATTTTAAGTAGTCTAGGTAGTCAGTTCTGCAGGTACAATCATGTTTTCGATGGGGCTTGTTTTGTACAATATCTGCCATCACTAAGATGCTTTTCTTTGGTTATTTGTGTAAATTTTCTGCCGTTATCTTTGTAGATTAAAAATAAGATCAGTTCAGTCTGTCCATTTTTGATGCTACAGTTTGGTAATCCATAGCTAGAACAAGCCCTTATGAGTGTTAGACCCCTTTTAAAATAAAACTTCAAAATGAAGGGAACTTGTCATGGCAGATTACTGTCATGAATGGTAAAGAATATAACAGCACCTACTGAATCATGTTCAAACAAGAAGGTACAACAGGCCTTTGTGTGTCATTACCATTTATCCTTTGTCTTCCTCTACATGATGGCAGAACTCTGGGGAGAGTTTAGTAACTTTCACTTTTGGTTGAACCATTCAGAGTCAAAAGGATTATTTTGACATCAGACATTATTTCTACCAGAAACTCAATAGTTACAGATAGTTACTATATGCAATGGCAGTATCTAAATACTATTTTTTAATTATAGCCTATGCAGAAACTTAAACACAGTCCGTATTGATTTTTCTGGTTATATATAAAGCCAATATTGCTTTTCCACATTAAAAATTTTAGACATACAAATATTTAATGTTATGGAGATGTGAGACTGTTAGAGCTATACAACATTTAGTTTTAATGGCTTTATTCATAGCCTTCTCTGTGACTACAAAGTATATTCTTGTTTACCAACATGCTTCAATCATTGCTGGATTTCTCTTAGGATTAACAAATGGATTTAAAAATAAAAAGTGGGAGCAGGGAATGGACTTTGTATTCATGCATTTTTCATTCACATAAAACACCATGCTCTAACATTTAGCCTGAAATGTTGTTAAAAATATTTTACACTCAGTTGATCTTCACTAAAAGCTGAACACATATTTTAACAGGTTAGAGTAAGAGACAATGTCTCTGTAAGGATACAGACAACTATATATTTATTTTTTGGAAGCATATGATAATTTCATTCCTAAATGTCCTCTGGAAAGTTTATCCTGATTCTTAATGTGTTAAATAATGACACATACAAATGTTTTTTATGAATATATTGCATGTACTCTGAAAATTGTGTGCAATTTTGTGGGATTAGGAGGAATGTACATAATATTCTATAGTCTTGTGTAAGCACACTGTGAAAAGAATAAGAACCATAAGAACTGAATCTTGTAGTAGTAAGCTCTAGCAACATACTAAACTGCATATGAAAAAAGCAGAAGACACACAAACATGCACAGACTGCCTTAGATGGTACAAAGTCTACCTGGTCTTACTGGCAGGTATGCCCTGGTGATTCCCTATACTTTTTTTCTTAGGCTGTATTGTTGAATTTCTCATTTATGGGTTGTCATGCATGAAATTATTAAACAAAAATAATTTGAAAAGGGTTTTTTACTTACTTGCATTAGGACTATCTTTAATTGTTGTTCTGCTGATTTGGTGCTCCTTTAAACCTCAGTAGAAAATGCAGACATACAACACTATTAACTCTTACAATCATACAGTGATGTTATATAGTTCATATTTAATGAAAAAGAAGCCAGTAACCCCACACTGGAACTGAACTACAAAACTTGGCTTTAAGTTGTGTGTATATTGTTCATCAGTAGATCCTTCTAATGCTGGCTTTCTATTCCACTCTTTTTGTACAGTTCTTTTGACAGCAAATTTGTCTATCAGCAAAGAGGACTTGGACCCATTGAACAGAACACAATTATTGTCTTGAATCCAAGTAATGCAAAATTGCTTCATTCCACAGGCAAAAATATGTAAGTTGGGGTTTTTTTTCTCTTGCTAATTGAACTAATATTTCCATACATTTTATGCCAAAGAGTCCCTGAACTAATTTTTGTGTGTTTTATATTCTGTTTGTGCATTTATATACAATTGTGTAATTGTAGCCTGAGTATCTTCAAGTAAATAAATAATTATTTAGATCAACTGAATTTCATAACTGAGACACTATTGTCAAGAAAATTCTAAGCTGTAAAGCTGTATTTTTCATTAAATGTACACGTAGTTAGTATGTACCATGTTTGTTTTTGGTCTATAGATAAAAAATTAAATCTTCACATCTATATAATTCTCCAGAAAAATTATTTTAACTTCATTCTTCTACATTTGTTCTTGCAGATTTTATTTACCACATGGTTTGAGTGTAGATAAAAATGGTAACTACTGGGTCACTGATGTAGCTCTTCATCAGGTATGTTTCTGAAGCTTTAGTATCAGGACCATAATATTTTGCTAAAAAAAAAATTTTTTTATTTTCCTAGAGATTTGATATACATTGCTTATCTAGGCCTGTTTAGAATAACATTAAGAATGTGCCTACAGAAATTCACCCCTGTGCACTTCATGGAATATAGTTGTGTTGAATAATTTGCTACAAGGATATAGCTTGTAGAAATAATAGAATCATAGACTCTGACCATAGAATCATGGTCTCAGTTGGAAGGGACTGTAAAGATTATCTCATTCCAGCTGCTCTGCCATGGGCAGAGACACTTTCCACTAGGTCAGGTTACTCAGAGCTCCATCCAATGTGGCCTGGAACACTTTCAGAGGTAGGCAGCCTCACCAGTGGCATCACCAACCTTGTGGTAAAGAGCTTCCTCCTAATATCTAATCTAAACCTACTCCCTGTTTGAAGTCATTCCACTTGAATGGGGAATTCTATTACTATGTGCATCTGTAAAAAATCCATTTCTGTCTTTCTTGTGGGCTCCATTCAGGAACTGGGAGGCCACAATTAGGTCACCCAGAAGCCTTTTTTTCTCCATGCTGAACAGTCCCAGTCCCCTCAACCTTTCCTCATATTGGAGGTGCTCCATCCTTCTGATCACCTTTGTGTCCCTCCCGTGGACTCTCTCCAACAGCTCCATGTCCTTCCTGTCCTGGGACCCCAGGGCAGGAGGCAGCTCTGCAGGTGGGGTCGCACCAGAGTGGGGAAAAGGGGCAGAATCCCCTCCCTCCCCTGTTACCCACTGGGCTCTGGATGCAGCCCCGGACAGAGTTAACCTATGACTGTGAGCACACATTACCAGCTCATGTTGAACCTCTCATGAACCAACACCTTCTCCTCAGGGCTGCTCTCAATCCCTTCTCCCAGCCTATATTTGTGCCTGGGATTGCCCCAACCCAGGTGCAAGACCTTGCACTTGGCCTTGTTGAATTTCACAAGGTTCTCATGTAGCAATCCTTTCAAGATCCTTCTGTAATTTTCTGCTGTGTCTTTTGCTTAACGATGCAGTTAAGTCTAGAAAGTGAAAGTAAATTGGTTGCTTTGCAATGACAGGAAATTTGTATTTTAAGCAGAAGTTTCCTAGAATCAGGGCTGTTGAAAAACTAATAATAAATATTATGGTCAATATATTAAGATTATGTTTTGGTATGTAAATTTATTTTATATAGAGTGATAGGAGTTTTTCCCTCTGCCACCTGGGTCTTAGGTTTCACCTTCCATAACTGAAACCTCTTTTCTTTTCCTTTTGACTGAAATAAAGGTTTTCAAACTAGGAGCCAATGACAAAGAACCATTACTGATCTTAGGAGTACCTTTGCAACCAGGCAGTGACAAAAATCATTTCTGTCAACCAACTGATGTGGCCGTGGACCCAATCACTGGCAGTATTTACGTCTCTGATGGCTACTGCAACAGTCGGATTATTCAGTTCTCTCCAAATGGAGTGTATTTGATGCAGTGGGGAGAAGGTACAGTCAGGTCCCTGGTACATTACCTATACTGCTGTTACCATGAACTCATCATGAACCACAAAATTGCTGATGTTGCTATTATTTTTTTTAAATTAAATTCTATAACTGAAATACCTTCCAGGCCCTACCTGAATTTTCTCTTGGCTTTTTCTACACCTACTTGTAGTGGTTATATATTTACTAAAAATAAAAAGTGGGGGTTTGTTGTCTTGCTTTCAGAATAAATATTGTCGTGTCCTATTTTGTCTAGAAAATACTATGACTTTCATAAAGCCAAATGTTTTCCTAAACATATAAGAAAGGAATAATTTTTTGCCAGATTTATGCTGTGATTTCATCTATTTTAAGTTTTATGAATAATTATATTTCTGCCTGACTCAGATTTATGTATCTCTGTAACTATGCTGAATATTCTCAGGAAACTGAAAATTCTAAATTTGGGATTTATAAAGAAAAAAAAATAGGCTTATCTACCTAAATTCTAGGAAGAAAGCAAGCTGAACTTAGTCTTTTCTCAGGATTACATTGCATTATGTAGCATACTGTTGTTTCTAAGTAAAACTGATAGTTTCAGTGTGTACTTTAACACAAACTTGGGGTTTTTTTAATTGCAGAGACTTCTCTGGGCAGATCCAGGCCTGGGCAGTTTTATATCCCTCACAGCTTAGCCCTGATCCCTGACTTAAGTCAGCTGTGCGTTGCAGACAGAGAAAATGGTCGCATTCAATGCTTTAGGCTAGAGACTGGGGAGTTCACGAGAGAGATCAAACACAAAGCATTTGGAAGAGAGTTATTTGCAGTTTCATATGTTCCAGGTAATCCTTTTTCTTGTTCTTCATATTTCAAGTAGTCGCTTTGTGCCAGGATGTCAGTGTTATTTCCTGAAGTGCTCTTTTGTTATCTTGGGAGTATTGTGTTATCTTGAGTTTTAATTATCTTCTAGAGTAGTCCTGATGCAATGGAAAATTTGAGAACTACCTGTTTTCCTGCTTGCAGATGAGGGAAGATTGCATCTAATCTCTGTTTCTAAAAAAGTATTGATTACTCCCTAAATGTAATATCAACAAGTAGACAATCTTGCTGCTTCCTGATGACTGCAGAGTTAATCAGTAAATAATTAATTATTATTAATAATAACATTTCTACATATTCATTTTCAAGTCCATTGAAGACAGCAAAATTAAGACCAAATAAACAAGCAGGGTTTTTGGTTTCATGAAACCAGAGAACTGAAAGGAAGCTAAAAACATTGTGGTTTTTAATATCATAGTCTGGTTAACAATTACTATATTAAGTTGTGGGATTCGATTTTAAATACCAATACTGAAGGTAAGGGAAATGTTAAGAACTGGATGAGGAATTTTGGCATGTTGGGCTCCTGACTCCTTAATACCAAATTTCATATCATGTTTCTCTCTTTTGCATCTGCAAGAATGTAAAAAAAATGCTGTGCTGGATGAGAGGCTTGATATCTATATGTCTGACAGCGGAAAGAGGCATTCTCAGAGTGTGTGTAAGCTTGGATGCATTTTGTAGTTGTTCCTCTCCTATTCACCATGCATCCACAAACACTTTATTTAGCAGTTCTAGGAGGTAACCTCTGATCTGTTCTTCATAGTATCTTTCTACAGACATATTGCCCGTAAATTCTAATCCCATTTCAAACTGACTAGTATTGTCTGGTTCATTGGCCTTCCACCATTGCAGGCTCTGGAAGTTCATTATCTACTTTATTTATTTATTTTTAATATAAAAAGTGACCTAGTTTCATTGGGTGCTACTCAATCTCAGCATTTTGGGAGCTGAATAACAGTTCCAAACATCCCCTCTCTGGTGCGCCTTCATCTTGCATTATCCTCTTCAAACCAAAGAACCCCAGCCACCTTACCCTCTCCCCATAAGCTATTTAATTGCTTCAGCCACTTGAGTATTGTATTTGCCTTTCCCTTCCAATGTCTTTTGCTTCATTGGAACCTTTCCTTAGTATCATGAAGCTTTTGACTTCTCCACAGAACTCACTTATCTTCCTCAGACTGCAAGGTGTTCTTGTTTGCCCCATTTTTCAGTCGTGGATGAAATCTATGAATAAAATTTCTGACTCTGATCACTTCAATATCACACTGTTCAGACTTCTCTGTCCTGAAGAATTACAGGCTCTGCCCATAAGCTTAGCTCTTTGCTTCCTGTTCATTAGTGGATCTTTTGTTCAGCCCTTTGATAATTCAAGTTCAATAACCTCTAATGCACTACCTTGTCAAGAGTTTTCTGAAAGCACAAATATGTCTATAGAATCTGCCATCTGCCTACCTGTGTGCTTTTTCTCCCTGTTCAGAGCTGAGGCACAGCCCTTAGAGAAGCCACACCAACTTGTTCTGTAAGGCTACACTTACCCATGTCTCAGTCTTCATTATGGATTCTACCATCTTACTGGAGATGGATGCCAGAATTGGTAATCTGTCTTTGCAGACACCCTTTGGTAGGTGGGCACTACTTCAGCATCCTGCTAGTCTTCTGGACAAGTGGCTGTCTGCAGTGGTGGGTTACTTAATTTGGCCTGAAGTCTGATTTCACATTTGGTTTCCTTCTGAATTTGAGTGAACACCATCTAAACCTCATAAATTAATAACTTCCAACTTGTCTTATACCTTGTGCTTCCCATTGAGCTGTCTCCTCTGATCTCTTTACTAAGAAAAAAAATTGAGTGTTAGAAACTTCCCAACATATTAAACAGAAAAAACTGACAAAATCCATTTCTTTGCCATAGGCCTCTAATCCCCGAGTCCCCATTCACATATTTTCTTTTTGTGATCCCACTTACTCCCCAGCTGACTTTCTGCTGTTGATGCATTGAAAGAACTTTCTGCTATCAGGTCAACCATCCATAGTGCAGCATTCTTGAGGTTATTTTTCTAACACCTTCACATTCCTTTTACTTTTAAACTGTATATAAAATATTGTCTTGCTGGTTCTTCTTATTTGAACTAAGTGTGCATCTCTTAAATGACAAAGTTTCAGTGAGTTTTACCTCGCTTAACTTTCCTCTTGTAGTTTAGCTTCTTGTTATCTTTCTGTCTCTCTGTCTCTCAGACAGCCTTTTTTCATCTAAACTATTATAGTTTCGTCTTCACTGCAGTTTGCTATGTGTGGGTTCTTAAGGCAAATCTAATGTTGTTGCAGGTGGTCTCCTCTTTGCAGTTAATGGAATGCCCTATCCTGGAGAGGCAGAATCAGTGCAAGGATTTGTGATGAATTTCTCTACTGGAGAAATAATTGATACTTTCATTCCACTTAGAAAGGTAGAGTACTGCACAGCGTGCCTGTTACATATAATTATATATATGAGAACATCAGTAACATTCTACTTTTCCAACTTGCATAAGAAGTTGGAAAATTGTTTATTGCTAGAAATAAGACATTTTATAATATAAGATATTCACAAGGAATTCTTTATAGTAATAAATAAAAACACTAGAATTTTGGATATTAGCTTCTACATGTGGTATATATTTGAAAATTATACTAACTTCTAGATGATTCCTAGAGATAATATCATCAGGCGGTATAAGCCCACTTTGTTACTGCCATTACAGTTCTTAAAAGTTAATTTAAGACAATAATGAAGTAATTGAAAGATTCATATATTTAGATGCTAGTAGTTTGTCAAAAAATAGAGCTTATTCCTAAGCAGAAATAATATGCAACTGTATGATTATATCCCTCTTTACAGAATAGTAATGAGTAAGTTAAGGCTAAATGTTCTTCATGCAGTATTGTACATTAAAATTGTGGGGGTTTTTAACAGTTTCTATATATTGTCTTAGATTAAAGAATGAATGTTAATATTCCCACTTCTTGGTATCACATACACTCTTTATTTGCAGTCCAACTTTAAATTATATTGAGAGTTATTTTTTCTGAGTATAGAAAATAGCTGTTTTGCATATGAACTTTATCAAAAATTAAATGTATGAGCTTCAAACTAAGATTCTTTTTGACATCATGTATTTCAGTGGATAAAGTGGAATGTAATAAAATGAGTAGAAATAATATTAATATAATTTTTTTAGCATTAATGTATGGAATAATTTCTATGTTGTTATCCCTGGAGGAGGAAAACATTCAGTAGAAATGGAATTCCTTTCCTTTCACACATTTGGGTTTCACACCAGCACCTTCTGCATTTTCCAGTCTAAAGCAGGATTGAATATGACCAAGCTCAAGTTAGGTGTTAAGGAGGCCTCATGAAAGCATAGATACTTAGGGGTAATCTGTGACTGGTTATCTTCACAGAGCTTTGAGATGCCACATGATATTGTTGCTTCAGAAGACAGAACAGTATTTGTTGGAGATGTTCATGCCAAAGCAGTGTGGAAGTTTGCATCTGTGGAAAGTATGTTCTTTTTGTTCTTAATGTCCTAACTTCACATTTTGTACCTTCAGGTCAGTATCACTTACCTGGTGCCCCTCTACAAGCTTCACCTGCAGCAGTTGTGTGCTGCTGCTCAGTTTTCATTAAAAAACTGTTCTTTAGCATTGTTGTGTGCCCTATCAAAGAAGAGTCCTGGGCACATGAGTTTGTCACAGAAGGAATCAACATGCATTTGTCTTACACATCCATTTTCAGTGTTTGCTTAAATAAATGTGTTACTCTAGTATTTTAGTAATTTCAGTGTATCCTTTGCTAAGAACTCAACTGCTTCCTGAAGTGAAGAAAACTCCCAAGGTATGAAGTAAAAGCGCAGGTCAGCTTAAAAATTATATTCGTTTCATTGGGAGCATTCATCACTAAAAAATTAATCTAGTATAATTTGAAGTCCTATTTTCATACAGAGGAAACACTTGCCAGTTTTAATCTAGTAGGTTTTTTTTTAATCTAGTAACCCCCAAGGCAAGCAGCCTTGTTCCCAAGTCCAAGTTAAGGGAGAGGAACCTGATTAGTCAGACTTAAATACAATTTAGTAGGATTCAGAGAGAGGTTACATGTTTTACAGGAATAAAAATATAATCCACTGCTCCATTATATGGGATTAAAAAAATGTATGACAGACATAAAGTCTTAGGCTTCCGGATGTTAGTCATCCAGTCAGAGTCCACTGCTATAGTGGACTAAGCTAGTTATTCCTTATTTGTCTTGTTAATGGATTTTCATTTGGGGCATTTCGTATCAGGTGCTGTTAATAACAGGAGACTGGACCAGATAAATTGTAATTCTGATTGGATATGTTTTTATCTGCATCTAGTAAACTGAAGATGAACAATTCTCAGCTTTTATTCAAAGAAATATGAGAATAAAAAAGTAATGGAATTTTTACAGGTTAGATGAGGGAAGTCCTTGTATAAAATTTTCTTTTTAGTTTTTGCTGAAGTATAAAAGAGCAGTAGCCAAGAAACCCTGATTCAACCAATTCAGACTTCAATTGTATGCCTTTAATTCCCTATGATTTTGATTATAATAAACAGTTTTATTTTTGCAGGAATCTATGAACATTTAGGCATACACATAAAATCTTTCTGTTTCATAAAAGCTGATTATTGCAAGCAACTTCCATAAACTGAGCTCTTCATTGTTTTTCTCTGGCCTTGTGAGCTACTGAATAGTTCACATTGACTCTCTGTGGTGAAATTTATGTGTTGATGGGAATGTTTACTGTAGGATTGTACTGTACTTTTGAGAAAGCTAGCAGGAAGATGTCACTGAGTGCCTTTCTGAAATATCAGTTGTCCTGAAGAATGATTTTGTTTTACAGAAATGGAACATCGGTCAGTTAAAAAGGCTGGTATTGAGGTACAGGAGACAAAAGGTTAGTCTGATTCATAATGAAAATGAAGGGATCGGTATGTTTATGTAGACTAGGCCTGCTTCTGCCAAGCTGAAGGGACAAAATACTGACTAGTTTGACCTGTTTTTTGTGAGTTCCTATAGGAAGCACTAGAAGGAAGCTTGTAACACTGTTATTGGTAGATGCTATTTCACAGCCAATCTAAACATTTCATTTCCAGTGATGACAAGTACTTCACTGTCACAGAATAAAAATTTTACTAGTAGGTTAATTCCATTCTATCATCCGGTATGTTCCAGTTTGGTATCTGTGCCAGATCCCTTAGATGCAGAAATAGCTGTAAAATACAACAGCTACAGTTACTCCCCAGCACCCTCCCCTACTCTGCAACTCTCCACCACCAAAAAAAGGGTTCTTTGAAATGACAATTGGTTTATATTCCTGTGTAGTCTTTTTGTACACATCCTTGTCAGTCATACCATATGGCAAGAAATACTATTTTTTTTCTATTTACATTTCTTCCCATAGATTTACTATACTTTTTATTTATTTAATCTTCATGAAAATGGAAAAAAAAAAGAAAAAGAAAATGAAAGCATATAGGAACAATATAAGGAGACAGTACACGCAGAGGAGATAGAGTAAAATATTAATTAAGGTAGATGAAAAGTAATTTCAACCATTTGTATTCTATTATGTAGCTCATTTTCCTTTCAGAAAAACAGTATCACATTATGGTAGTATTTACAAAGGCTTTTAAAATGTTCAAATGTTCCTAACTGGTTTTCTTTGCTTAAATTCAGAGCTTATGTAGTTTGCTTCAGCCACATATACACAGACAGAGAAAAGTCAAAAAATTCCCAACTGCCAATTGAAAGAATAAGGAAGGCTAATGAAACAATGAAATGCTTACTGCCATCACTGTTATCCTTTTATTTTCTCTCCATTGGTACACCAGCCTGCCTGAAGCACTCAAAAGGGAAGTGTTGACATTACAGTATGCTGTATATCTAGGGATATGTAAATGCCTTTTGGTTTTCTTTAGCTGACACTTCTAATGTCATAGAGAAAAAATGCAATAGTAACACCAGGGTAAGAAAAAGGTTTTAAGTAACAATGTCTAAAACTGTTTAGAGTAGGTAGGCTGAAATTAACATCTTTCAGCTCCACTGGGTGAAAAGAGCCAATGGACTTTGTGTCATCTGCTTAATAAATGGAGAGGAGTAGTCTGCACTCTCACAGCCTCCTGGTGACTGTTACTAGAGCTTGTACTACTGTGACATGGGGCAAAATAACTGTAACTTTGCCCAGAGGTAGGAAAGATGGTGGAGGAAAATCTTCCTTAGCGGTAACTACTTCTTGAACAGATAGCATGTTTTCATTGTGTCAATGTTATCCTTGTACTTGTGATAACATGATATTATTTATCCTTGTATTAGTGTTGAGTGTACACTGAACCATTTGCTACTCCTTCAGAGTAGAACATCATTTTAATTTTGATACAGAATCAAAACAGTGTTGATTGAAAGTGTTTGTGATCCAGCTACTTGTTAAGACCTGCTGTTCAGTCTAAATTCAAAATACATAGCTGGACAGTTTTACTTGCTACAAGGTAATCACAAAGCATTTGAAACATCATAAAGGTTTTTCTTAAATAGTTTTTCTCCTTGTGGGTAGAGTTAACAAATTAGTCAGCAATGACTGAATGCAGTTTTCAAAAGCTCTCCAGATTTGTAGAACCAAAATTCGTTCATGGAATGTGACAAAAAAATTAACCCTTTGCCACATTTATTAGAAACTTTTTCTTTGTATTAATGATAATATTATGTATACTGGTTTTCTGTATTTCTTGCGGAAATGGTTTTGTCAAAAGGAGATGTTTAATTGATGTTACACCATACGGTTATTTGCAAAAATGGATCATTGGGGTAATTTCCTATATTTTAAATAGTAGATACTTTTTAGGACAAAATTGTTTAATCTATCTCCTTTCCTCATTTGAGAAAAGGGGAGGGAATTTTTGTTAGTGAGTGGTATCATTCAGACTTGCTCTTCCTTTTATTTGGGATAACATCAGCAAAAGCCAAAAATGTCTCCATAAGAGTTTGTCTTTTGTTTCCTTGTTACAAAGCACTTAAGGTATCCTAGCTTCTTGTTTCCTGTAACACCGTGTTCTGCAACAGCTGTTCAAGCAACAGCTTGATGATTATGGCTTACATATGGAAATTGTTTTCTTTTTAAAGAATCAGAAACAATTGTTGAAGCCAGATTGAAAAACAAGCCAGAATCAAGAGACCCTCTAAAGAATATAGATAAACAACACTTGGTCCAACAGGCCAGCAGCACTGGAGTTTCCTTTGTTCTTATTACAACCCTTCTTATTATCCCTATTGTTGTCCTGCTGGTAATTTTGGTATTTATTCGGTGGAGGAAGACAACTGTCTATGGAGGTAACCGTGAGTAACTGTTCTAGAGAACAGGCTTGTATTATTCCAGTTCCAAGTATCACTGAACACTGGGGGGTAAGGGTATGAAGAGAGCAGCTCCCTGTGCCTTTGCCCTCCTGAACAGTTGCAGTGGTGCTGCAAACTTACAGCTTGGCAGGTACACAGCACCTGCAGTCCCCTGAGCCTTTAAGCTAGCCTCAAGTTAGCGCCTCTTCAGAACATATATCAAAAATTTTAATTGGTGTCAAGGCAAAAACTGGTATCTCAGAAATTACTAGAATAAATTCATGTTGTATTGTCTAGAATTCAGAAATTTTAATACTGCGAGCATAGTTTGATTTTTTAGTGTGGGATCTTTAAACTGCTGAGAACAAAAGATTCCATATGGGTATTACAGAGATACAGGCAAAACGAAAGCAGATAGCATTACAAGAGATTTTGTATTATTGCTCTCTCCAACCTAGTCAATTCTGTGAGTCAGACATGCTTCCATAGTACACCTTAATCCATAGCTCTTAAAGCTTTAATTAGTACTTAGAATGTAAATGGTTCTAAATTTGTATTGTATAATAACATTATTTTTCATAAATTTGCAGCCTGCAATACGCATTTGATCACTAGAATTGTTATTTTGTATCACAAAATTGTTTTATCAAGATTTTTTCATCTCCAAAACATTTTCTTGGAGAAGAAAATGTACATGGAGTACACAACACAGTTCTGCTACTGGTCAGGACCTACTGTGACAGAGTAGGCCATTCAGCAATCTAATATGGCTATGCAACTGAATTGGATGTATTTTATTTCAAGATTTTAGCATACAGCTTCCTGACTTTTGTATTCAAATGTGTTAGCATACCAAATGTGCTACATAGCATATCAAATATGCTACCACTCTAGTCTATTGCAGTACTGCCATAGATGGCTTCTTAGAGCTGCTGATTAATTTGTTGAATGTCTGTGATTTTTATCAGAAAATACAGGTACTTATTTGATCATAGAACACTCAGAGCTTAGCTTAATTTTGAAATTTACTTTATTTTTCAGCTGATGGGGAATGCAAACTTGATTCTACTTCAGGCAGAATTTTAGGCAGACTTAGAGGTAAGTAGTCACCGAAGATAATTTCAAATGCAGTAACTGGAGGCTTTTTTTCTGTATTCATGTTGACTAACAGATTTGATGGAACTTTCTCAAAGGAAGGACTGGGGGCAAAGATCAGGGGTTTTTGAAAATTTCTTTTACAACAACTTTTATCTGTCATTATCTGCCCACTAAAGAGGATGAGTCACTACCAGTGGGAGAGCAGGAGCTAAAATGAGTTGTAGATCTGGTGAATGAAATGAAGCACTTTGAAACTAAGGACAAATGGGTAGGAATGCCAATAACCTGTGTAGAATTAATGAAGTAATGGATGCCAAAAAAGTATAGTCCAAAACTTCTAAGATTAATGGCCTTCTTCTTTCCTATTATATACACCTAGCTTTTGTGGCACATGTGCTGAACCTTTAAAAACAGTTTCTCGAAGGACACTTAATCACCACTATACTGTTTAATTAGTAGATGGATTTTTATTCCCCCTTTACAGTTAAAGCAAACCTTAAAAAAATCCTTTCCTTTCCATAGTGAAAGGTGGTGGTGGAATTAACCTTGGGAACTTCTTTGCAAGCCACAAAGGCTACAGCCGAAAAGGGTTTGACCGGCTGAGCACTGAAGGAAGCGATCAAGAAAAAGATGATGATGGCACTGATTCTGAGGAAGAGCGTTCAGTGTCTCCACTGCCACCAGCACCTTCATCATCCTGAAACTAACCTTTGAGTTCTCCATTATATGGTTCAACCCAGAATGTCAGATTTCTTTTCCCTTTAGTACATTTAAGATCTTGTATATTTAATTGGAAATTGTTCTAGTCTGTGTGGGGCTGTATACTGGTTCCTTTAATTTTTGTTTGGTTTTAGTTATGTTTTTTAAGTGAAGGAATATATTGAAATTCCATATCAGTGCCGTTGGTTTTTAATATGTGAACATATTAATAAAGCAAAGTCTCTAATTGCAGGACTGATTTAAAGCAGTAGTATTTTATCATCAAATATGGGGATCTTGTAAATAAGTCTTACTATCTGCTTCATCAAATATTTTTCCATAATTATTGAGTTGCCAGTTTCTGTTTTGTGCCTTTCCTCTTCAATGTCCTTAACCTGTTGCATTACAGAGAATATACAGTGCCACAAAAAATGAAGCTGCTAAGTCTTCTTCTATTTTTTTAAATCACTAACATGGTATTGCATTGAAGGAAAGAAAAAAGTCTCTATTTAATTTTTTTCTTCTTCCTAACTTTATGTGTTTCCAGAATGTCTTATTTTTAGATGGTATCACTGTTAGAACACTATTTTCAGAAGCTGAATGTAATTTGTGTAATAAAGTATTCGCAGAGCATTGGCTGTCGGAGTGTACTTTGGAAATTTTGCTTGCATTTTTTGGTAAACAACTTTTGTAAAAGTTATAGGGGGCACTTAACACAGTAAAAATTTTAATGTGTTCTACCAGCAGATAAAAAAAATGCAATTTTGTATGGAAGCTGGAAAAATATTTTGTTATGTCATGAGGTTGTTTGTCTGGGTTTTTTTTAAGACTAATAATCTTCATACACATACAAAGTCAAACATCTAAAGAGGGATTTTACTTGTATAATAAAACTGCAAGATATTTCCTTAATAAAACACATGGTCACAGCTAAGAGGAAACCTGTGTCTCAAATTAAATATGCAAATTAGTCAGGGTAGCCATCTAATACTACCTGATTGGAAGCACTGATTTTCTTTTTTCATCCACACTTTCATTCATTCAACAGGAACCCTCAGTTCTGTAATAAGTTTTCTCATTTACCAGCAGACTTACGAAGTCCTGCTGGATAATTACCCTCTCTGGATGAGTCATCTAAAGTGTGAATCATTGTGTAACATCGTTATGACTAATCAGTCCTGTTTGAGGATCAGAGCATAATTAATGTTCTTTTAAAACTGCTATTATGAGCAGAGTGTACAGAGCTGAAATTGCCACAGGGTTTTATGAAACAGTTTTCATTGTCATCATTGCAGGTGTTGTAATAGGCTGCTGTTGGCATTGAGATTGGAAAATAGGCTTTAAGCTCCTTGTGGTGGTTTTGCATGGGGGAATAAGGGTAATGATAGTGAAGAAAAAGTTAAGGTTTCTTCCCCCAGCAAGTTTTTATAAATCCACTTTTTCTGGAAAAAAACTGAAAAAACCAAAACCAAAATCCCAAACTTAAAATGCATTACAAGCTGGGGTTTTTTTCTCACATACAGCAAAATCTCCAGGATAGCAATCTGAAATGCTGGAGTACAGGCACAGTTTCATGTGAAATGTATTTAGTGCATACTCTTAATTTGCTTCCTCTCCTGCAAATTTTTGTTTTCCTAGTGTTGCAAGGAAAACAGTTTCTTTCTCACCTTTGAAAGCAAGGCAGTATTATTTTTGGCAGTGGCCTTGATCCTCCTATATATGAATAAAAATATATCAGTTGGGAAGAATCCTCTGAAACTGTCTGCAAAAATGCTCAGTCAGTAGTTTACAGGAAGTTTCCAGAGACAGCATTTAAGAAAGCTGTGGTGATACTGCTGTCATAGGTGGCATATATCTATCAGTTCTAAAAGATCACAGGGTTTTCTCAAAAGCAGTCAATAAGGGTATATTTTTCTAACATTTGGTTAGACTCACCTTATGTCCAAGTGATGTTGGGTGTCTTCTGTTTCCATTAGCAGAGCTCAGTGGAAGTAATAGGCAGCTTCGCTCTTTGTCCTTTCCTTTATTTGACCAGTATCTCTAGCTCTAGATAATGCTTTGCTGAGAGGGAATCAGCCAAACAGTTTAACTGCAAGTACAGGCTAAAATAGATTAACTGAGCTTTAATCATAATCTCAGCTTTCTGGAATTCAGATATTGGTCTCTACAATAATCCTGGGCTGCCTAAAGAGAACCAGCATGAAGGGAGGAGATTCTACTCTGATCTGGTGACACTCCCACTTACAGTGCTGCATCCAACCCTGGGGTCCCCAAAATAAGAAGGATGTGGACCTGTTGGAGTTGGGTCCAGAGAGGGCCACTAGGATAGTCAGAGGGTTAAAGTACCTGTCTTGGCGTTTTTTGGTCTGGACAAGAGAGGGCTCCCCAGAGATCTCATTCTGGCCTTTCAGTGTTTCAAGAGGGTTTAGAAAGAAAGACAAGAACCTTTTTACCAAGGACTATAGTGATAGGACAAGAGGCCATGGTTTTAAACTGAGAGAAGGAGATTTAGATTGGATATTAGAGAGAAAATCTTTATTCTGAGCATGGTGAGGCACTGGCACAGGCTGCCCAGAGAAACTGTAGATGCCTCATCCCTCGAACTGTTCAAGACCAGGTTGGATGGAGCCCTGAGCAACCAGGTCCAGCAGGAAGTGTCCATGGCCATGGCAGAGGGGTTGGATTAGATGATCTTTAAGGTCAATTTCAACACAAGCTATTCTGTCATTTTTAATAACTGCACCGACAGGCCACCAACTACTTTCCAGCACCAATCAAATTTCGCACCTCATGTTTCATGCTCCTAATTTTGTACAGGTGCAATGGCAGAATTGGAACATCTGAACCTGCTTGAAGGCACTGAATGTTCTTTGTCTCTTATTAAAGCTGCATCTTATGAAAACAATGTACCATAAACTCCATACTGCAGTAGAAAAATTAATGTAAAAAGGAAGATACAAGCTTTCTGAATCAGTTCTCATTTTAATAAGCCAGCAGACCATCCTCCATCCTTACAGGTTCTGTATGCTAATATTATTTATTGTATTAAAAGTTCAAATCTGGTTATTCAGGCTAAACTTTAGAGAGCAGGTTTAAATTAGTTTTCAGTAGTTGCTCCAGATAAAATTATGCTTTAATGAACAACATATAATTGCACATTTTAAGATTTACAAGATATGGTACCACCTTCCATGTGTTGTTGATTGATCATTTCTTAAGCCTTTTTAAGAATGAAGAATCTTGGCTATTGTAGGGGCTGAATATTTTCATTAAAATTAGGCTGACCAAGTAGCTAAGCACCTTTCTGTAGTATTAAGCATCTCCCTGTTTTAAATAGTCTGACCCATGGAAATTCTTACAGGGTTATGGGAAGGTGGTTGTGATCCACTGGCAAGTGGCATTGGGTAATTTTGGGTACCTTCTGTGAACCTGTGGTAAGTGAGGGCAAACTGGGGCAACTGCAAGGTGCCATGAGGAGGATGCGCTGACCTGTAACACACAGGTTGCCGCCCACATCAGCTGAAGGTGCCCCAATTAACTGAAATGACAATCCCAATTAAGCATCTGTCCTTGCCACCAAGTATCATTAGGTGTAAATTGATTCCTTGGGAAGCATCTTGATTAAGTAGATTTCTAGTCAAGCAGTGCACTGTAGAATTAATGAGGATTTATAGATCATTGTGGTGAATTATAAAAGCTTCTTCCTTACCAAAACTAGATTTATTTAAGTTTTACAGAGTCTTTAGGTCAGTAATGGCTGTCACACTACAGTGGATTAGGATTAAGCATGTGTCATGCTACAGAGAAGGGGCTTGGTGATTTTTAGGTTGCCATTCAAATACACATGTGAAAATTTATTTGAAAGACATTGTATGTATTAGCAGTAAAAGTTGTGGGGACCATCACTGCTGAGCAATTCAAGATCAACTTTATTATTTAATTACTTAATTGCACATTAGGAAATCCTTTAAAATTTTAAAGACTATGTCATATAGTTCACAGTTTGTGTGGAATCCTGTATTATCCAGTCAAAAAATGCAAAAACAGAATCAAATACTCAAGTAAATTAACAATAAGAGCTGAAATTAAGCCACTGTATTTTCTATGTAAAACAGATGCTAGTGAACCCTACAGTTTTAGCACCCTGATTTGCCTTTACCTGTTGGGGTTTTTTAATTCTTAAATGTGAAAATATTTTTATTTTTTATGTGAATTATCAAAATTTGTTAGTGGAATTTGCATTGTAACTGCTCCTTAGACTCTTCTCCAGTAATGGGGAAAAAAATTAGATTTGTTGGTATAGCTAAGTATTACTGGCAGAAGAAAAGAGGGGAGCTGACAGTGTAGAGGAGAATTTAAGATCTATAGTGATAGCTACTTATCCAAGCAAAACCTGCAAACTTCTTGCTGTTTCTAGACATGGTGGCTAAAAAACCTAAAAAGAAATTCAGCTGGCATTGTTAGACACATATTTTGGAGAGACACTGCGTCGTAGTCAATCTGGAGGCTGCGCTAGATTTTTTCTAAATATTACAGGTCATGAAACAGTTTATTTTACTGTTTCTTCATCTCCATTCCACTTGTATTTCTTATTAATGGGTTGCATGTGAAGCATGACATCCTGTGAGTAAAGCTCTGTCTGATTTCATTGTATAGCTTTTAGAAAATATACAGATAATGTATGGGCAGTATTCTTGTAGGGCACTGTGCCAAAGTACTGGTTTGAAGATGCAGTAATTTTTTTCTTTTTTCCTAGAAAATAGTCAGTGGTAACAGTTCAGCAAACTAGGGAAATTATTACAGACTATACTTCTTATTCTTCTACGACATATGAGAAACCTAAATTTTCTACACTTTTTAATTAGAATTGAAGACTTTTTTCAGAATGGATTTTTGGCAACCGCCAAAGTGGCTGAAGTTGGTACTAATTCAGGGTTTCAGGGGCAGAACCGTGCCCTGGCCACTGCAATCCTCAGTGCTCTGAGTACCCTCTCCCCTCTGTTATTGCTTCCTTCAGCCATGACACATCCTAAAACAGCTGCTCAAGAGAAAATGGCTTTCAGGAAAAAGGACTGAATTTCACAATTCTGCCATGTTTCCTCGGGTCGGCTCTCGGGTCACACACACTGCCACACATAAGGAAGTGGAGGAATGGTGTTATTCAAGGCACTTGCATGGGAGATCCTGCTCACAGCAACCAAGGTGTAACGAGTACTGAAAAGTGCTTGGAAGGTGTAAAGCTGTACTGAAAATTTACCACAGTTGGTAGCTGTGGTATAAAACCACCTAAAGCACAAGTAAAATATTTTTGTACTCTGGCTCACATGACAGGTCAGTCACGCAGCCTTCACACAATGCGGGTCATATTGCTCTCAAAAATGTACTCGTGTTCCCGTCATTATCGACAATTCAATGTAAAAATTACAGAAAATTCTGCTGCGAACGTCGTTTCAGAAAGAAGCCCGAGGAAGGGCAGGGCGGGCAGCAGTTGCTGCGAGCCCTAGGCACCCCGTGGGCGGTGGCTCCCGCGGATCCAGGCTGCCACCTTCCGACATACCCTGAACGTCTCCCGCTGGAGACGAACGCACGAAAGCTCATACACTAAAAAAATTGCTTGCCGGTATTACACCGTAACTATGCGCTCTGCTTTCCTTCTTGGTCTTTATTCTATGGGAGTGGTGGATGATGTTTCTGATTAGGTTAAGACTCAGAATCAATCTGGTGGGGTAGCACAGGTATTATATACTGCATATCACTGAAACGCTGCATAAAACAGAAATAATTTTCTTAAGGGCTTTTCTGTTGGGGCTTTTATACTATGTCTGCTAGCTTTGTGAAGAGTAATGAGTATTTTTTGCAGTTTGTCTGGAATCTGATATGGTGTTACTCTGTACAGAAGGATGAAGTGAGGCATAAGGAAATTAAAGGCATCAATTGCCAAGAATAATCAACTAATTTTAGGTACTGAATTCATAAAATCTGATTTATTCCCTTTTAACCCACTTAACTGGGATATCACTTTACATATTCAAGGCACCAATTCTTGCAACCAGCTACAGCTCTGAATGCTCCAGTTCTGCTTATGAGTTTTGAGATGCCTCTCCAGGACCCAAAAAAGGGCTCACCAATGTGAGTAATAAGTAGTACGCGGTAATACAGAATTACAGAAACTTGTATCCAAGTGATCTGCTCATCATTGCACTAGTAGCCTGTAACAGGGCAGCACTGCACCTAGCAGTGGGGACATGCTATATCTCCTACAATAGTTATTGTTTACTGGCACACCTGCTTCTGTTACCAGTGCAGCAAGGATGCTGCAGATCCCTTCATCTACACACAAGCTGGAAGGAGAAATGACCAGGGAATGCATCTCTCAGGATTAACTGCTCCAGAATCAAATGCTTTAAAATTCAGTTTACTGTCTGGTTACTTCTGTCTGGAAGAGTCTTCTTCTTCAAAATGAAGCTTTTGGTGTGCCACTTTTCATTCAAAATTTCTACATAGTTTTGTTACCAAGATATAAACAGCAAGCCAATAGGTCTTCTAATAGGTGCAAAAGAGTATAGTACCCATTTCTTGAAGACACTGCTAAATCTTGCTTCCTTGTGTCAGTTTTGGTCAAACAGTGCTTCTTTTCCATTTTCCAGTGATGTCCTTCATGTCAATAATTTGAAAATCCTGTATTTTATTTCAATGAATCTCTCCCCTCCACAGAAGGCCACATTTCAGTGCACTGGTAAGTCACTACTTGGTAATACAATAGATCAAAATTACCAGGAAGCCTGAGCAATCAGCAATATCTTAAATGTACACAGTATGTTAAATGCTTCTGTGTTTTCCCCATTACTCTCTCACTGCAGCATTTTCTTTCTTTTCAGTGTAGCTCTAACAACTCTATAGCACTTGCATTATTCCAGAGCTACCACAGAAAACAGCTCTGCTGTACTGTGCACAATTCAGGAACTGATCATTTGGAGTAAGAAAAAAATAAGAGAGGCTGGTTCTCTTTTGCAGCTACTAAAGCAGAAATCAGTCTTACAAACAATGCCTTACTCTCCAGTTTTATCCCCAACAGTAATATTTTCTTCAAAAGGATGATATATAAAAATAAATATTTATTCCATGTGTGCATACACACAATGTACTCAGAATGACTCAATGAAGTCTTGGGAGAGAAAAACTGTATCTGTAGACTGTATTTTCAGAAGACACAAAATAGTTTGAGTATTAATTATTTTTCATTTGAAGTTTAAGATAGGATTCTGTCATGGTGCTGAGCTCTTTTCTCACACAGATGCATCCCATGATATTAAAGTCATACTGTACTTACATGTCTATTTCTGTAGGAGGTAGGAACCTAACCAGCCTTGATAACCACATCTAATTGCCTATAATTAACTGAAAACTTCTAATAAATAGTCCTTCCTCACCTGTGTTATAAGTCACATGACATTCAGGAGCAGAAATGAGAGGGAATACACAAATTCAGAGAGCAAGATAAGCAAATCTTACACAGCATCACCCATAAGTTGCTGAATTCCTCATTTAGTTTTCTTCTAGTTTTCTTCATGTCAATCCCCTAGAAAAAAAACCCAAACAAACAAACAAACAAAAAAAAAACCCAAAAAACCAAAAACAACAAAACCAAAACAACAACAAAAATTAACTTCCACTCTCAAGTTTTCCACATGAAAAAATTCCTGTGCTGCTGACTTTGAGAAAGTCTTCTCAGCAGGAAGTCCAGACCAGTAACAGCTACTCAAGGAAGTCAGAGAATAAGTTCATACCACTGCTTCCCCTTTCATAGCCCACTGTCCATGGAAAATCTCCCAACAGGCACAGGCTCAATGAAAAGGTAACTGTAATGGAGAAAACTGTAATGTTTGTGGAAAAAGCACATAGAATATTAAATGCTCGTAAGATTTTTTCACATGCCTGAAATATTAAAACTGCCTACACTAGCAGACTTTTGATGAGCGGGGAACAGCTGAAGCCCTCATTGTTCCATGAATAGAACACTACATGTATTTGATTTTGGCAGTTTTATTGTTTTGTGAGATCTTAAATGGATTAAACTAGAAATTAAAAGTTGTACAAGTCAGATGCTGCAGCTTCCCAGAATGAACAGAGAACTGTTATATAACAGGAAAAGGAAGACATGAGCTTCTCTGTAGTGGAGAGAAAATTTACACCAACTTGCTTAGGTTTAATTCATCTCACAGTGCACATTAGGAATAAGTCATCCAAGGATTAAATGGAAAAGGTTGTTACAGTGAAATGATGCATTATGTCCTGAGAGGATAACAGTAAGGCATGGCCACATTGCCATTCTACAAAAAAACTTTGTAATTTAAATGCATGATGAGAATATTTGCTTTCACTCATGCTTTTCCTTAACACCGAGACAAATTAGATACCTGAAGCACTATTAGATTCATAAAGGAGTAAAATGGAATGAGCTAAGGAAGTTGGAGCTATTAAATTTTTTTTTCCAGTTTGCCACAGTAGTTCCAAACTGCTTAGCAATGAAATGTGATAGAAGACTATGCTTAAGTATCCTCTGTCTTTGTCTGAAGGGTCCAACAAGGTGAAGGTCATTGCTCTGGCTTTGCAGTGTTTGGTTCAATGCAACGATCTCTCAGCTCAGACCCATGTTTATCATCTGCTGATTCTTGGTCTTTGCAGGCTGCAGGTGGAATCTGTACAGCAGATATGATATCTTTTTTGTAGGCATTTATTTCTTTTTCAGCAACCGAGTCTGCTTGGCTTGAATTATTAGATCTTTCAGATAAGCCAATATAGTCATGGTCAAAAACTACTGCACCTTGTAGAATGTAATGGTTGCCTGTAAAAGGAAAGTAGCCATTAGTTCAGATCTCTGAAGCCATACTTGAAATGTTAGTGAGGTGCTAACTTACTTTTCAAAACAGTTTCCAAAAGAGGACAAGAATGTTTGAGTGACAGTAAACTGATTATGTGAATTTCCCAATTTCACTGAGGAACAAATGTTTGTCATCTTGTTACATCCACAAAATAATCTCTGTGATTATCCACATTTAGAGCTTTTCTTAGCTAAGTCAATTATTATCTTGATGTCTATCTTAGTCACCTACTGAACTAATGCTTGAATACAACTACTAGCTTGAATAAATGGACATGTATATTCTTTCATTTTGTACATGCACATGGATAAATGTGGTTTATTCATGCTCTCGCTGGAAAATCTTAGTTCAACACACAACAAGCTTCCTTAAACCATAAAAAGTTTAAAAAGTAAGTAAAGTAGGTAAGTTAAAAAAAAAAAACAACACACCAAAATCCAAAATCTATCCCAGCCAAGACCAAGACTGTCACTTCCTGAAAAAGGGAATTCTATGTTTACACACTGCTTCTGCAGTACTCAGCAGTAAACATATTAGGCTCTAATACTACAAAAACCACTACTTTCAGCTTTTTATACAGTGACACAATTTACTAGAAGTTATTGTAATAGCTGTTCATTATCTATATGCTTGATATGCATGTCACTTCCTCCTCATGCATCAGCAATATAATGAGGAACCAGAAGGCACAGACTGATTGTCTAAAAAAAGTAGAGCCCTCGTGACATGCCATAAAATCAGTATCTTAGTTACAAAATCCATAACTGATGACTGACGTAAATATTTCAGCTTGTTACATGAAATTCCAGAATTAGTTTCAGCTTTGCAAATCTCTTAGCTTTAAGAGGTGATGAAAGAAATTACCATCTCAATGTAGTTTATCTATTTACAAGAACCAAAGTTTGACCACATGTGCCACTAGTGTGGGAATTGTTCTCCTCTTCAAGAACTCTGAAGTATAAAACAGCTTGTTCTGTGAAAGAAATCTTCTGTACACCAAGTATTTAATTTTTTATTGAAAAGGCCTCTGGTGACTCAAAGACAGCATGAGCAGAAAAGAAACACTGTTTGATTTGCGAAAGGGCATGCTGACTATGTAAGATGAAGAGCGGAAGTTGGTTATCCAAATCTTTGGAAATTTCTAGCAATCCTACCACAGAGCATGACAATTCTCTTTACTCCTGTAAGAGAAACGCTGACTTTAACAGGACAATTTAAAATAAACTATTCCAAAATCAGTTCCCTGATGTAGTCTTTTTATTTAAGGTTTTAGAAGACACTCCAATGTTGTAAAGAAAAAAAAAGTTTCTGTTGCACTAGCAAAATTAATGTGAATCCTGCCTACACCAAAAGAGTCAGAAAATGCTCCTTGAATATACGTCAACCTGCTTATATTTCTAGCATGTTCTTATACCAGCACAAATCGATCCAAGCCAGTGATTAGAAGCAACTTTAATAGTGGCTATTTTTAAAAAGGCTTTGAGCGTTATTCATGATCTCTGTTCCATGCTCTGCATAGTCTGATATCGCTCACACTCACTATTCTCCTTACTTAGCTATTACACTATTGTATGTGCTAATATAATTCCCACTGGTTAGTGAATGACACTTTTTCATTCTAATAACCTAACACCAAAATAAAGAAGTTAAAAACCAAAACAAAAAACCCAAGTCTTTTTACATACACAAAAATACAAACTTAAAAACAATTATATACACCTTTTTCACTGGACCCTCTTACATATGGCTTGAGGTGAGACATTTTGATGGGTCTTTTCAGCCTGGATCCTGTGGAATCTCTTAATATTGCACAGCCATTTTCTGTGATGTAATCTATGATACAAGGACCAATCCATTCCGACTGGAAACGACCATCTTTCCACCAGTTTTTTCTTTGCCTGAGGACTTCATGACCAACTTTAAGTTGAAGGGTATTTAGTTGTTTTGACTTCCTTTTAACTGTGATTTTGGTTCTGATTTTTTGTTCATCTGAAGTTTTTTTATCTGCCTATGGAAAGATAAACGTGAATTACTTTTTTTTTTTAATCCCAAAAGTAACAATGCAATTTTGTAGCATTGAGCAACAGCATGACATTGAGTGGTTTTAGATGTGTGTAGTTCGTAATTATGTGGGACTGAAGTGTTGAAGAAATTGCTTTTATCTTCATAAATCAGTACTCCATATGCAACAGTTTTCAACTTCTCTATTCTGCCCTCTAAGTCAAACATAGTAAACTTCTGACAGGTCTCTTTTAAGGTTACTCCCTCCAAATACATGTGTTACACTGAAATTAAGGGATCACAGGGGAAGAAAAACAAACTAAAAACCACCACATTATTTTAAAAGTTTAGTTTTACTTTATGCCTCAGACTTTTTCATCTTTATGTTCAGCCTTCTTACCAGTAAAATTTAAATACATAACATTTACCTGGCAATCTGAGGTTTTGTCTTCTTCCAATGCTTGACTGAGTTTTTTAGTTGCTTCAAATATTTTGGCAAAACTACTGTATTCTCCTTCCACACATATATTCATGGTCTCAACAACACGTGGGTTACGGTTGAACATTTGGAAATATGGGGTGTTTTGATCTGGCTCCTATTTATATGGGGACCAAAAGCAAGTAAATTTAGCACACAGCTTTGCCAACATTTTGGAGGACTTCAGTCAAAAGAAGAAGAATCTTCACATACCAAATTTGTCAAATTGAAAGCATAGGCTATAGCAGACAAATGTTCATCCCAATCATTTGGATGGTCTATGCAATACTTGTTAAGGAAAGTTTTGATTGTCTTGGACATTCTTTCATTTACATCATGTGTCTGAGGATAAGACAATACAATTTGCTTCATTCCAAACAATGCAAACAGTTCTTCATTTATCTTCAAAATAAGAAGAACACAATCAGTGAACATTTCTCCTATTCTGTATCCCATTTCAAGTAAAAAAACTCAGATTTTTACCCCTTTGGTTGATATGATGGTGACTGGGAGAAATCTTGCATACATATTGGCACATAACACACCAGGACTGTGAATGAGCACTAAACCATTAAGTAGGGCTTAGTGATTGATGGTTCCTAACCACATTTTTGCTACTTAACTCGATCTATCATTATGTCCATGTCACAATCTGATGCCTTCATTGTTTCTTAGAGGAACAGAGTATGGTTAAGTCCTTCATAATCACTAGAAGGCAACTTCCAAAATTCCCTTAGCTATTGCTATACTGGGCAATATGGATGAATGACATACATCAGAATTCAGTGTACAAATTTATGCCAATTCAAATGAGTGACAAAACCTGCATTATTACTTTGCTCTTTTTACAAAGAATAAAGTCCTAGGAAACATTGCATAGCATTACAATTGCAAATAATTGGTTTGACATTTTTTTGAATTGTACAAATGTCTTTACTTTTTCAATTAAAGAAAAAAAATACTGAAGTCTTTCTGAAAAAAAATTCTAAAATTCAAATCTAAGGGAAAATGTATTTTTCTTGAGGGGAAAAATCAACAACAAAAAAGCAATTAACCAGCCATGTAAATAATTACCTGATAAACAAGCTCCTTCCCCTGATCAATAGGCATCTTTTGAGGTGGCCCATATATGAAAAACACATTTATGATTGCTTTAGCAATTTCAGCTGCTGAAGTGTCATGCAGTGGTAAGATAACAGTCCATCTTGTAAACAAATCTGTCATAATTATGATGTACTTGTGACTTCTGTTGGTAACATTGAAAGGTCCCATTAGCTGTATAGTGACTGATGTCCATGGGTCCTCTGCTTTGATAGGGTGTATTTTGGGCACTCTGGTGGTTATGTTCTTTGCCACCTGGCAATGCTGGCAAGCATGCACCTAGAGAGGGAAGGTGTTATCAATGAAAAGTGACAGTGAGGTGATGACAACATCAGAATCATACATCTCAACTATTTCTCTGTAAATCAGCAAACCAGGCAATGCAAAATAAATTTATCACTTTTCTTACCATTTTTTATCCTTAGATTTTTCAGAAATAGCATAAAACCAAAATAAAACCAAACAATACTGAAGGCCAGAAGAGGGACATATAAAAGAACTCAAAGCTGAATTCTCTCCATTCTGAAAGCACTGTGCTCTTTCGAGTCCACAGTGCAAAGTTTAAAATCCATTACTATCTGTAAATAATAAAGGAAGTAGGAAGCAACTGGGAGTGAAAGGAAGCCCTAATCATTCCCCTTTTGGCTCATCTCTATATGCTGTGGCTGAAAAACACTGGAAGTATACATTATCTTCCATGCAAAACAACATAATCTATGGGACAGAGCATCTCTGTCCAATCTAAATTGAAAGGAATTACTCTTTTTCATTTCATGTAACAGTTGCCCATGAACTCAAAGTATTCACATGATGCAGTAAGCCAACAGGAACAGTAATTTGGCCTTAAACTATTTACATAGTTTCTTGGACTATCAAATTCTGCTAGGGGTTCCTACCTCTGTATCTTTGAGTGGAGGAGAAGGTGGTGTGCAAGCCAGTAGTAAAAGAGTAAAAAGTAGTATAAAAGTAAAACGAAACACTGTGCCAAGATGACAAGTGTGATTGCAAGTTTACGTTCCCTCCTTGTGAAACAGCCTGGGTATTTGCTGTACCAAAGTTCATAGGATTACCAAACATTTGTAACAGACTACATAAAGTATCCTGTAGCTGAAAGTATCCTGTAGAGAAGCCATACCCACTGCTTGACATCATTTGTTACAGAGGTCCAGTAGTAATTAGACTCCACTAAAGTCAGTGTCCTTGATATACCATGATGAGTGCCAGCAGCATTTTTGTGGCATTTCTCAAGGACCTTTTTCTTCTCTTCATCTGCAACAATTACCAGGCGCATTTGTTTTCTGTCTTTTCCAACATAGAACAACTTGTTTTCTGAAAAAAGTACCAGCAAATTATCAGCAAGTGCTTTGTCTTCTGTTTAGTTTACTAAACTACTGATCATGACTCAGAATAGATTTTATTGCAATAAGTTCACTTTTGTAATCATAGCTTTTTGTTTACAAACATTTCAATTATGTCCTCCAAAGAGCCATTAGTTCAGCCATGCTTATTATTTGGACACAATGAATACAAGTGCAAGTCAGAATGCAAACAGCATTCCCACAAGAAATCTGACTGAAACCCAGACTAACACTGGGGTTGGAAAGGGGAGATAGTGTTGAAACTGTTATTTGTGAAGCTGTTGGGTGCCTGCCAGCAACCCTGACACTGATAGTCAAAGACTTAACTCCTCCCTGCCTTCTCTCTACACAACACTGGCAGTTTTAGAGGGATCGAGACAGTACAGCAGACTACAATGGCTCATAAAGGCTCATGTATCTCCCAGGGCTGCAATAAAGTCAGGAAGGGCCTGCAGGCTCTCAGGTGACTGATGGCAAAATTGAAGTCCTTGTACTTCCGCCAGCTATCCCCCAGACTGGATGGAGCATTCCTTGTCTTTTGCTGCAGATCTATTTCCTTTTCTGTAATCCTTTCAATTATGGACTGCAGTGACTACAGATTTCTACAGTATAAAAAAAGATATAAAATGAGGTTTGGCTTTTATATAGATAAATAAAACTGTCCTGTACTGGACTAAAGCAGACTGAGCTTCTATTTCTACAAACATCCTGTTATATATTAACCAGAGATTTGCAGAGCATTTTTCTCATGGAGAATGCTTATTAAAATCACAGAATGCTGCAAAGCGAGATCTCATTTTTTTCATATTAGGAAATCTTTACCTTAATATCTATTTTTAGCATAACTTGAGAGAAAAGTTTTACCCTTGAAAACAAATTTTTTGGCAGCTCTCCTGATTCCACTTCTTTCACTTGATAATGTTGTGGGATGATATTCCCCTGTTCGCTTGTAGTATGCAATCTGCTTCAGGTGAAGCCCACCATTTTTTCCATTACGAACCATTGCCAATCTGAACAAAATGGACAGAATTTATTAGATAAATTGTCAGAGAAGCACATTGTCAAGTTTTTACTGATTTCTTTGTAGCTCAGAAGCATCCTGGTCACGTAGCCCCTAAGAAGAGCTTACACCATCCACTATATACGTTAGCATTTAGCAACAAGGAGTGCTGCTTGAAACACTAATTTTGTCCTAAGCAGAGCTGGTTTTCTCAAACTATATTTTAAAATTTCCACACAATGGAAGCTTCTACTACACTCATTGAACAGGGGAAGGAAATAGTATCAGAGAGAAAGAAATTGTTCTTCTCATTCTTAGATACCTCTTAAATTCAGTTGTGCTTGAGACAGTCCAAAGATCCAACCTAGCTGAGAAAAATCTACACAGGCAAATAGGAAAAAAAAAAACTTCCCAGAGAGAAACTAATGGAAATGTATTTTTTCACTAATTAATCAATTAGATTTTGAAATTGCAAACCAGACTCTGCATAAGAGGTAACAATTCATTCCTTGACACAAGCTGACTTCCCTGATAACATTAATAAGCAATGTCATTAGTAAAATGGGCCACTGATACTGAACCTGTTTGGGTTTAGAAAATAGCACCAAAATAATTATGTAATAATGAAAATTTAAATATTCACAGACAGGATTATTGATGCAGCTTCTAAATCATTTGAGTGGTTTGCTTTTTTTCCAAATCTTTTCCAGCAGCATAGACGAAGCAGCAATTTAATCATGCTCTCACCAATGTTTGCAGGAGCAGGATCTGCCTGGGGTCTGCCATATCATAATTTTATAGTGAATACTGGTTATCCACAGCATTAAGTAAATTTATTTCTTATCCTGCCACTGTTCCAGTGCCAGACTGTGACATTATGTACCTGCTAAAAAGAGTAATTAGTTTGTCTGCCATATGTGCTCAGTGGCTTATAATTATGAGGAAGTGACAGAATCCAGTCATTCTGGAATGCGCATCATCTCATTATGTGATGATGTTATTTGAAAACAAAATGTGTAGGACAAGACATCTATTTTTCAATTTATAGATTCTGACTTACCTTTACTATGCTGGTGGTGGGAAGGAGGTAAAGACCTCTTAAGGGTGATTATGTCTGCTTTCATTTCATCCTTTCCTCCAAGAAAATAAAATGCTGTATGTTATTTTTGGAACCTGCACCCTGAGCTAAGCACTGCTGTTAGCAATGGCAAATGCATGACAGGAACTTCCCATTCAAAATGTGACAAGACTTTTGCCTCACTGAGTACTTCATTTTATGCACCCTAGAGCTGGTTTTCAAAACAAGCCATGTCTCTTGTCATACAGCATTAATGTTTTAAAGCAAAATTTTCATACCTGGAAGAACTAACACAGATGTACTTCCCAACACCACGATCTCACCTGTGAAGAAAGAGGGAAGTTTCAGAACAGGGAAGGAGAGGAGCCAGAACACAGGACTGTTCTGACACAGCAGTTTCCTGTAAGTTTATATCCCACACATGCTAACCAACCACTGAGCTGGTAAATTGGATAACTAACAGCAGAAAAGGAGGTGAGGTTGCCATGAAATAAATTCATGCTTCTCTGTTGTTGAAAAGAAGCCAATTAACCAGTATTTTTGTCAGTAAAAGAACATTGGTAAAGGGCAATTAAAATATCCCATCTGCCAGGGGCACACATTCAAGTTTTACTCAGGGGCTTTCTCAAGGCCAGTCCTGCACTTAAGTTACCTGAAGTCAAAACTGGCCCAGTATGACCTGTCACTTAACCACAGGGGTGATGGATTCTTTTGGCTTGACACAGACTTTTACACATGGGAAGAAAAGATCTTACAGAACAATCTTTATTCTTCCAGTACTTTTGAAACTTGCCTGAAACAGCAAATACTCTCTATGGTGACCAAAATTGTCCATTTTAATAAAATGAGGTTTTAATTAATTTTAATTCACAGCAACAAAACACTTCTAAGCAGGACCATAGCATACACTTCTGCTAAGCAGACATGCTATCCACATTTCAGCAATGGCAGTTTCTGTTATAAGCATTTTGAAGAGCTTAGGTAAACCAATGAAGAAAGAATGTGCTATGTAGCACCCACATATATTAATTTAGAAGGATCCTGATCCAGAAAACTGCTAAATACTTAAGTCTGCTGGATTGCTGCCTAATATGAGCTTCCTTCCTGGATATTTAATTTCTTGTGCCCCTACCAATCTTTTCCCCCATTACCTAATTTACTTTGTTTGGCCTACTCCTAAAAAATGCCAAATGAAAGAGTCCTGAAAAGAACAATTCATAAAATCTTCTATTTTTCTTATTTATTCAGATAATTCATATGCTATGTCTCAATACTCATAATGCATCTGGTAGTCTAAAAATCGAAGACATAAAATCAGCTATGCATTTTTAGTACCTTAGAAGCTCAAAAAGTATACACTAGAAAGTTTTTTAGCAAGGAGAATGAAACTTCCATATAACCAGTGGTCTTTTAGCTTTAGTGGTTTAGCCAAAACAGTCACACCTGCTAAAACTAAGCGATTTCATCCTTTAATGCACATTTTCTCCTACAGACAAACACAATCCTCACTGCAAAACTATTCTTTTGGTCCAGCTTTTGGCCAATTCCTCTACTTCTGACTCCTGCTCCTACAAGAAACAGGCATTGCCTGTGGAGCCCTGAAACACAGTCACTGCATGCTTTGGGATGGACTTTAAAGATTATCAACTTCCAAACTGCTGCCAGGTTCAGGCAGCACTTCCTAGGCAGCACAACCTTCCACTAGATGAGATTCCTCAGAGCCCCAAACCCACTTGGGTTCAAACACTTCCAGGAATAGGACTGACACAGATTTTCTGGACAACCTGTTCTAGTGTCTCACCATCCTCTCAGTAAAGATTTTTTTTTTCCTAATATCCGGTCTAAACTTGCTCTCTTTCTTTGAATGCATCCCCCCTTGTCATATCATGTATGTTATGTTCAAGTATATGTTCATGTAAGAAGTCCCCCTCCTGTTCCTGGTACAGGCTGTCTCCCGTACACAGCTTCAAAACACCGCTTTTCTAACCCAGGTGCTTCCAAAAATGTGTAAATCAGACTGACAGACTTGCCTACACTCCTTCCTGGTTTTGCAAGTGCGACAGAGGGCTGGGGAGGGCGCCTATGAGGCTGAGTGGGTAGGCACGCGAAGTCGCGTCTCGCCGTCCGCGGTAGCGTCAGTCACCATCCAGAATTCCACTAATTTCTCTCGGGAAGGTGCCTCCGCATCCTCCCTCCCGCCTACAGCACTACACATCCCAGCGTGCAGCGCGCCCGCGCAGGGTATGCCGGGAACGGCGGTGGTGAGTGACTGTCCCCTGGGCCTCGCACCCCGCGCATGCACGAGGCGACGCCAACGCGAACTTTTTGCTTCCCGCCACCGCCCCCGCGCCGCTCTCTCGGCCCGGTGGGCACACCCGTGAACATCCGGCGTGTCCCGGGCACACACCTGCTCCGGCAGAGGTACCGGCAAGGCCCGTCGCGGGGGGCCACAGTTTCCTGGTCAGACCAACCACAGCCACGGCCCCAGCGGCGCCCCGAGACTTTTGTGGCGCCCCCGGAAGTGGCGGGAGGGGGGGGGGGGGCCAGGACAGCGGCGGCGCCGCCTCCTAGGGGGATTGCGGGCCCGCCGCGGGCAGGTGTGGTGGCCGTTCCTTCCTTTCTCCCCGTTCCCGGCCCGGCCGGGAGGCAGGTGGGCAGCGCGGTGGCTGAGGCGAGCGGGAGTTCCCGTGAGAAGCGGTGTCGCAGTGGGCGGGCAGCGCAGGAGGTGCGGCCGGCGCCGGCTGCTGCGTCGGGCACGGCCCATGTGCACGGTCAGCGCTTTGTCTCTGGGTTGTTCTCTCGGACAGAAGCAGCGGCGGTGCGGCACACCGGGTGTGTGAGGTTGCAGTGTTCGGTGCTGTCAGTGTCAGGTGAAGCGTTTTGGTACAGATGAACACGGGTTGAAAGGTGTTGTGTGCCTAAACGGGGATGGGGAGGGAAGTAATAGAGCACTTCTTGGAGCTCTGTGTTTGGAGCACTCTATTAGCATCCCAAAAACTTATGATAAATTCAGTATAAAAGAAGCTGGAGCAAGGGAGAAGGCTGTCTGTAATCAAAATGGGGGGGTGGGGGGGGCGGGGCGGGAAGCATCAGAAGAAGCCGCAAAGTTGAGAATTAAGTGTCAGGAGCAGAGATGAGAGAGGCGTAAAGACTGCATGTCGTCTGTTACCTTTATTTTTGTTTTCGTGGTGTTTTCCAGAACGTGGGAACTTTATAGAATATTGGTTAGTTTGAAAATGCTGGGGGTTTGTCACTTCTTTTGTTTTCCTGTAGTTAGTCGCAAGCAGGAAGACTGGGGGATAGCTGTATCATAAGCACAGGGAAATAAGTAGTTTTCTTTCTCATACTAGCTACTTCTGCTACTGGTGTACCTTTACAGCTGTTTGTAACAGTGTTTCTGCATTGTGGTATCACTCTTTTAGGTGCTGTTTCCCTCTGTCTGTTTAGCCTGTATCTTTCCAACTTTTCTGCATCCCTTATGTATTATCTTTGTGCTCAAAGTAACAAGCCAAGGCGGTTGTTTTTTTCCTTGGAGTATCAAAGTTCTTATTGAATCCATCTTTGTCTTGGTGAACAAGGTTTGATTCAATCAATAACAAAACTATTCTTGCAATGTAAAACTTTTTGTGGTATATGGTCATGTAATATGTCTCTTGTAGTTCAATATGTGAGAAATTCAAATTTCTATACTTACTGGCTTGTTTTAGTTGTCTTATTCTTTCTTTTGAAGAAAGTTTCACCCTTCTAGCAGTTGTGATTAGAACAGATCAAGCCTCCAGAGGCTGAGCCAAATGAACTTGGGTACAGGATTTTTTTAATTGATTTTTTTTTTTTTGCAAATCCTCTCATCTCTACAAAGTTGAATTAAAGTTCTTTGTGAGAATCTGGAGAAGCTGTTTTGACATCTCTGAGTGGGATTTTTAAAATTTTGGAAGCCACCCTTCCTGAAACATTCAAACTTGTCTCAAATATAAATGACTTTATGTGATATGTTTGACAGAATTTAATTTAGAAAGGAACTTGAAGGTTAATGAATGTGAAGGTTGTCTATTCTGTGGCTATGCAGGAGATAGTTAAAACACATGCCAGATACCAGTTTGTGTAGTTTGCCAGTTTTAAAATAACACTGCCTTTCTGTGTGGAAGATAAGAGAATGATATTTACTAGATGCGTTTTTCTAGACTTCTAAGGCTTTTTTAACACTTCTGTGTTAAAAAAGTATTGATTTCTTTTGCGGTTTCAACTGGAGAGTTGAAATATGCCTGTGATACTGCAATATTTGAAGATAAAACTCAGAGTTTACTTGTGCTGAAAAATTACTCTTCTGCTGGTGAGCTGTTAGGGAAAAATAAGTTCTGCAAGCAAAGAACTTAGTCAGGAAAAGACCCATTGAAGTTATTTCACTTTAGGTTTGGTAATTAAAAATTGCTGAAAATACTTTGCCTAACTAACTACATAATTACTGGGAGAAAAGGCAGACATGGGGAAATCAGCCAGTAGTTACTGTTTTTACTGTTTGAAAACTGGAATAGTTGTGCTTTGAGACTAGAAATCTTATTTTTGAACAACTAGAAGGCTTGTATTTCCTTGCTGCAAAGCCTCTTAACAGGCTCCTGGCTTACATGGCTGTTCTCAGTTTTCTGTCACTAAGATACTGTAATACAGAGGATCAGACTGAATATTACTTTTGGTACAAACATCCAGTACTCTTGGAAAATAATAAGGGTCCCTGGAAAAAGACTTAGGCAACTGAAACTTGTTAGCTAGCCTACCTATACAGAGTTTTGAGCAATGTTAGGTATTCTTGAGCAGAGTTGTTTCCAGTAGGAAATGCCAATAATGTGGGTATTTCTAGATTCCTGATGCATAAGAGTGGGTGCTTGAAAGTTTCACATTGGTAGGATTTGGCAGACTATGGACATGTCTTCTGCTTGGAATACTCAATCTGCAATGCTGATTCCCTGTCCTGTAAAAAGCAATCCAGAGGCCACCTTAACAACGCCCAAAAAAAACCCAACAGCACAACAAACAAACAAAACATAGAAACCCACTTAATGGTGAAGAGAGAAAGTGAAAGGTTTATAGTAGCCTAGTGGTTAGAACAGTTGAATGGAACAGGATAAATATTATCTCTGTGCTCTCCTGTATCAGAGGTTTCAACTCCCTGTTTTCTGTTAATCAGAAGTGTGTCCTAACCACCAAGCTGAAAAGTGTGTAGGTAAAAACATCTGCATGTGGACATTACTGCTGAAGATGGAGTATGAGTAACAGTGCATAGTTTTATCCCCCAGAAAACACCTTCATTGGCCACCAGGTATTTACTAAGTAGAATCATGAAGCAGATCCTCCTGGGGCACTTGGAAGATAAGAAGGTGATGGATGACAGCCAATGTGATTTCACTAAGGCAAATTTGACAAATTTAGTGGCCTTCTATGAGCACCTTCCAGTAAGTAAAAGGAGGCTGACTATAAGAAGACTGGAGAGGGACTATTTAAAAAGGTCTGTAGTGATAGGACCAGGGGGAATTACTTTCAGGATGAGGAATGAGATTTAGATTAAATATTTTGAAATTCTTTGCTGAGTGGGTGGTGAGGTACTGGCACAGGTTATTCAGAGAAGTGGATGCCCCATCCCTGGATTTCTTCAAGGCCAGGTTGGATCAAGCTTGAAGCAATTTGGTCTAGTGGAAAGCTCCCTGCCCGTAGGGAGCTTTGGGGTTTGGAACCAAGTGATCTTTGGGGATCCTTCGAACCAAAACCATTCTATGATGCTTTAATATACAATGACACATTTTTTTACATAACTTCTCTAATATATTCATTTATTCATCCATAAAAAACACTTGAGCGCTTAATATGATCCCCAAAGTAAAAGAGGGCTCCATCCTGGAACAGCAGTCCTGTACATGTGTCTGCTCCATGGGCCACAGCTCCTGCAAGGTGCTCCAGCACAGACTGTCTGTGGGCTACATCTACCACCTCCAATGTGGGGTTCGCTATGGCCTGCAGGTAGATCTCTGCTGCACTGTGGACCTCCACAGGCCAACAGGGGCACAGCCTGCTTTACAGTGGTCTGTGGGGGAATTTCAAGAGCCTGGAGCACTTCCTATGTGTCCTTTCTGAATGACTTTGGGGTCTGCAGTGTTGTTTCTCTCAGTTATTGTCACCCCTCTCAGCTGTTGTGCAGTGTTCTTTACCCTTTCCTAAATACCTTATAGCAGAGGCATCACCAGCATGGCCAAGGGGCACAACTTTTGGCAGCAGCAGGTCCATCTTGGGGCTGACTGGAACTGGCTCTGTCTGACATGGGGACAGCTTCTGGTGTCTTTCACAGAAACCACCCCTGCAGGCCACTCACCACCAGAACTTTACCAGGGAATCCCAGTGCAGGCACTCACCTGGCAAGGAAGACTCCTTTTATTCTTAAGAAGGTTTTTTTCAGGTTTTGGTACAGTGAAACTGGAAGGTGGATAGTCTCTTTTGACATGGCAGTTGCTGTAATTTTTCTGGTTGAGTAGCGTATAAACTGGTATATAGTAATGTTTCTCGAGCATTGCAAAAAGTATCTGCAGTGCTCCCACAGACAGAAAGAATTTAACATGTTTACAGTTGTCATTTGCATAGATTTTTTTTCATGTGGCAGTCTGAGAGCTGTGATTGGCTTGTAGGCAGTATCAGTGTCTGGCTAAAAGCAACAAATAAAGGCTACTTTTCATCTTTTCTTGAGATTCTTGTAATGATTAGGGAATATATTAGCATATTGTGAAATCTAGAGCTCAGTGTTTGTTTGATGCAAGATTGGAGCAGGTGACTTAGTTCTTTAAAGCTGTGTGATGTAGTCTTTATAATTCTCTTTTTTTCTTTGTTACCTTTTTTTAGCCTATTTCTTGTCTATTATTTTGCATATCAGTGAAGTTTCCTGCCTAATGTTACTGAGAAGAGCTGAGTTACTGAAGGTGATGATAAACTTCGCAAGGCTATTGAAGTTAGTATTTGCTCGAGAGAGACAGAGGTTTTTCTCAGCTTTATATACTGTACTTGGACCTTATAAATTCCAGTACTTATTTGAATCCCTTATATGCCCTTGAATTTTCGTGATTATTGTTTGATTATTTATTGTTTGATTTGTTTCTTTGTGGGTTTTTCTTTGTTGGGGTTTGGTTTGTTGGTCTGTTTAGGTTGTTTGGGTTTGAGGTTTTGTTATGTGTAAAAATTATCAGGCAGTAACTATAACATTCTTTGTGTTTAAGAGATACTGGGATAGAGCTGTTCAATAAATATTTTTCAGATTTAGTCCATCTCAGTAATGTGCTGACAGGTACTACTCAGCAGCTCAAAGGATGTATGCGGGGAACAGAACAACATCTGTATGTAAATGTTAATTTTTTTATAATTTCATGACACAGGAGAAATTTTGTGTTTGAATTCTGTTGAGTTTTAAATTGGAGAATATGTATCTTTTGCTGTGTAAGTTACAGCAATAAACAAGTCACATATTTACTGTCAGCATTGTCTTCAGCAGCTTTT